GTTTTTGATCAAAACCAAAGACTTATAAGGGCATCTGCATGCAAAACAATGCATTTGTAAAAAACAGGTTTTATTTGGAGCATTTTCTGTGAGAAAAATTCCTTCACAATTTACCTTCACATTTCATATGAAACTACAAACTAGCTTACATAAAATAAGCATTCTTTTTTTTTTTTCTCTTTATTTATATGATAGAGAGAAGAAGGGAGAGGAAGAGAGAGAAAGAAACATCGATGAGAGAGAACATTAGTTGGCCGTCTCCAGCATGCCCCCCACTGGGGATCTGGCCCACAACGTGGGCATGTGCCCTGACTGGGAATCGAACTGGCAACTTCTTGGTGCATGGGTGGATGCTCAACCACTGAACCACACTGGCCAGGAAAATAAGCATTCTTTATCAGCCATTTGGCACAAATCCTTTTGGAAATTAATCAAAGATGATATCCTTAATCTTTAGAGGAAGGTCAGCACTTGACTACACTCCTGCACATCTGTGACCGCTCTCGCTTGCCCGGAGGTCCCAGGTAGGCCTGTGTCCTGAGCCCATAGGAGGAAGCCCTCTGTGTGAGCTTTGTATGACTTCATGGGTGTTTGGCGTCAGTGGTGCTGTGGCAGGGAGTGTTCCCTACCTCCTTTAGCATCTCCAGAAGTCACTGAGGTACTTTTCTCTGGAGCTAGAAGTCAGCGGAGTTCTTATCATGATAACATATTTGAGTTTTATACCAGAATTGGAGTGAACCAAAACAGAACTTTTGATTTATAAAATTAGTCAGAATCCATGACAATAATGGCCTGTTTCATGATATAGTGATATACTTGGTACCTTTCTCATAGAGACTCAGTTGGTTGTAAATCTTCCTCCAACAACGTAGATTGTGATGTCCTCGGGGCCACAGCTAGGTCTTACTGTTCTCTGAAAGATTTGCTGTGACATGAACATGGTCCCTGTAAATGGGTAACAGAACATTGCCATGAGCTGATGAGCAGCACTTTTTACTAGTTAAAGATAAGAGGTGATAATGGAAAGAAGAAACCTTCTTTGCGTGGATTTTTTCAAGCTCACCCCAAGACACTACAATGGTTTTTAATCGTTCTTAAAATTGTGCCTCCTCTTGTGCCAGGTCGGTTCTTACTTTGTTAGATGGAGACAGGGGTTGTTTCCAGCATGAAGCAATTTGAGGGTAGACTTATACATTCCCGGCACAGGAATGGGCACCGACATGATGGGTGCTCAAATGCACATGCTTGTTAACTTATTACAAGGTAGAGAGAAAAAAAGGGAGGTGGATAAAGGAAAGAAGTCATATCTAAAATAAGGACTGTGAATAGCTGGCAAGATGCTCTCCCAAACTACCCTCCGAGTAGGCACACTAACGATCATAGTTCTCTCCTTCTGAGCGTAAAGTCTGCCTTGGGGTCCTCACCACTCTGCCCCTGGCAGGCATAATAAAACTTTCAGAGTTGGCAGATGAGAAGACACCTATTTGCTATCCTTCCTGTAGAGTTTGTTCCCTGACATGATACAGATAGCCCTGACTTGTCTCTCACCCTGTTTTTCAAAAGTAGGTAAGAGTTCAGTGAAAAGCAAAACAAAAACCTATGAACAATGCAAGATAAAGTTTTAAAAAAATGCAGCTTGTTTTATTTTTATAGAAACTAAAACACCAGAGCTCATTGATTCCTATATTAAATACATAAATTATAAAATAACCATTCATAAAACTTTACATACAATAAGTTGATTCCAATCTCTATGGTAATACATACAATACATGTACATGTTCGGTGTACTTCAGAGGATCATTCGGGTGAAACTCAGTCCGTTTATACGTTTCTTCCATTAATAAACAAGCACTGAAGCAATATATGGAATCATGCTAATGCTATGGAGAGAAAGAACCCTAGTTGAGGCAGCTGATGGGAGGAAAGCTCTGAGAAATTGGCCCTCTGGCTACATGTATACAGTAGACATCTGGGGAATTATGTATTCAAACACATTGGCTCTATAGTTGAGTCCCCACAGAACTGGATCTCGAAGGTTAAATCATGCATGAACCGTTCTGCAAATGGGATGTTTAGCTGACAAAAAGTGAGACTTTGGGCTAATATTAATATCATAGATTGTGCTGGACTTATTGCCACTCTTCCCAGAAAATCATCGGCATCACTACAAGGTTGGTTTATGGGTCTGGGTAATTGGAAAACCAATGAGTAGTTCTTTGCCTCAGTCAACAACAGGGAATAGTAATAATGAAAAGAAGGTGGGGAGGAGGGAGACAGGCCAAGGAGGGGAAGAGCACAGACTCCAGATGCCAAACCAAAGCTTGAGTTACCCAGCAGCATCGGGAAAAAACCCCTTCTGTAGGTGTTCAGTCCTAGGACAGAAGTACACAGTAAGCACTCACGCCATCATTCTATGTACAGAATATATATGTGTATATATGTACATCGCATATTTATAAACGTGTTTGGATTCTGATCTGCCTCAATATTATGGTTAATGGGGGAAATAGGCACATTTTGTGAGATGTCAATCAAATATAAGGGATTGCTGTTATTGATGGATATTGGGCATCTGCTTTTGGGAAATTGCAACATCCACCATTTAGCAAGTTTGTGGAGTCTTGATTGTAGGCAAAGTTGGACTAAAGTTGTTTATCGACATCACTCCCACCCTACAGAACTTTGATTTAACAAGGATGGAGATATGAGCATGGGTACAAAGACCTCAAAAACACAAGGACAAAAAAAGGGAACCTCACCCAACCAACCACTTGACTTCTGAGTTTAATATACTGCATTGAATATTTTGCCACGTGAACCCTTGAAGTATATCGCTAGTAATTTTGATTAAACATTGGACTCAACGATTCTAAACTGCCAAGTGAAAGGCATCAGAGGAACGCGAATCTTCCCCTGCCCAGGAGTCAGATGGAATCCTACAGGACCAACCCCAACCTTCTATTATGTCTGAATTCTCTTGCCAATCTGCCTGAAATCCATTCTCAAGACAGTATATATCACATAGAAATGACAAGGCAGTTGAAAAGAATGGGAGATTTTATCCCTCCAGACCTCGTGACCTACGTTTTTCCTTTAGAAAGTAGAAATGCACATAAGACAGTCTTGGGTCCATTTCTGGGAGCATTCACTCGTTACAGAAACAGGCACCTAAGATTTGCTTTGATTACTGATCTCTCAAAAGGTATACTGAACTTATTCAATATAATATATAAATATATATATTTTTTTTCTGTGCCACTCTTTGACAGATCAAAAAAAATTCAATGAAATATTTTAAAAATAAAATGCCTAGGCTTTCCACCTATTTTGATATAACATAACATGCATGATCCAATTATTTAAAAAGCAACACAAAACCGAGGAGTATTATTTTTTACAGTTTCCATGAAAACCTAGGCAGGTTTAAAAGACTTGCTTCATTTTAAAACAATAATCTTATGAATTACATGGGAGACATTGGACATGTATAAATTACACAATGGTTTTACAGAAGAAGGTTGACAATAAATAGGCAAAAGGAACAAGTTTGCCAGAGATTTATTTTAAATTGAAAACACAGAAGTTGAAATAAAATACTGAAGCAAAAGTTACTTTGCAAAACTTTATTTCGTCTGCTACTAGTGGAAAACAAATGTCCCCTTTTTCCTCCAGTGATGGCCCATGAGCCCTCCACATCATCTCTAACCTGCAGAGCCATGCCGACTACGTGAAGTTATTTGTCAGTGGAAGAAAATCAAGCAAAAATGTATTCTTCTATCCTTAAAAATCTCACTTTTGGCAATAATTTTACTCATATGACATAGGTTAAAAGGGATCTTATACTTATTCTCAGCAAATTCTAGTGTTTCCAAAAATAAAACTTGGGTGGCATTAAAAAACAAAACAAAAAACTAGTCAATCTAGTAATAGATGCTTTCTAGTATTATAACCAAATATAGAGTTCAATTTTTCCCCTTTTATCATAAATATTTTTTCTGTGTTGTATTACTGTGCTAAATTGGGGCTTTTATTTTATCTCAAAGTGTTTTTCAGTATGGTCAGTTGTCTTTATTTTCCAAAAGATGAATATTTTAAGAAAAAATAAGTAACTGAACCCCGATGAATGCTGTTCTGACTGCTAACCCATCGACCACATGTGGCAGGATGCTTAAGATGCAGCTATTAGAGATCAGTGAGGACTGTCTGCTCTCTGTAAGACAGGGAGCCACAGTAAACCCCATTACAAACAAGACACTCTTTTTATTGAACATCACATACAAGGGCAGCCATCATTTAGATACAGTCTATTTGCATGAATCCATGAGTGACTGTTAACAGAAATTAGCGATTTTGCTAATGTGTTGTGGAAATGGATAACAGAGAGATGTACCTATAAAAATAGTTGGCCTTATTCAATTTTGAATATCATGAGTAAGACTAGGTAAAAATATCACCTTTTAGCCTAAAATCTAGACAAATTTGCTAATCTCCTGGATTTTAAGCAACAAGGAAGAACCCCTCCTTTTGTATTTGCCCTAAGCACACCTGAAGCTGCTTAGATGGTCATCCTAGCTGTCAGTGCTCTTGTACAACTTTTGTGTGTGTGATGTAATGATTTGTAGCAGATAATACATATAATTAAATGGCACTATCTTTACAAATGCTTCTAATCATTTAAACTATAATCCATGCTTGGATATAAAATTTAAACTACAAATTTCTTGATGGGGGAAAGGAAGATGAAGAGAAAGTAGGTTTGTTGGAGGAGATGGAGTATGAATTTGCTCAGAGGGACCCTGGAATGGCAATGAAGAGCAATAAAAAAGAAAAGTTGAAGATGTGGAAGACTAATTTACCCTCTTCCACATGTTCTGAGATTGGAAAGAATTGGGTCACCCTCTTTCACTTGCCTGCACAATAAATCTATTATTCATATTTGATCGGGAACCTACCCAGATGAACAGAGAATTCAGCAGAAGGATAGTTACACATCACTGGACCTTCCCCCCAAATGAAAGGGGTGATCAGATTATGTGATGCTATCAGTTCACTCCAAGCCTTCATTTTGTGGTTGGCTCTCCTGTGAAAAGTGGAATTTTGTGTCATGGCATGCATAAGCAACGGGGAGAGCGAGGAGGTCCTTATTATTGAAATGAGATACTCTTCTAGCTTGTTCAATAGCATGAGACAATCTATTTATAGGTTATTAGAGATCCTGGCTCTGGATTGCTCAATCTTTATTGCTAGTAATGCCCCAGATAGTTTTGATGGGAAACCTTCAGTGCTGCAGTGGTTAAGATCCAACCAAACTGAAGCACTATTTTATCACACAGGGGACTCTTTTTCTCAACAACACAAGGAAGTCCAATAATATAGCAATCAGAATAATTACAAAGCACTTTGTGCTACTTGAAGCACCTCTTGTTCCAGAATTGCAAAAAAGAAACTTTATGAAAAAGCATTTTAACCTCATTTTGCAGATGAGGAAACTGAGGCACAGAGAGGTTAAGTGACTGGGCCAAAGATACCTGTGTCAGCAGTCAATATAAAAACAAAAAGTGGATCCCAGCATTCGAGTGTTTCTTGTCCATTTTTCAGTTACTGTGCTGGCTTCGAAAATGCCAGTGCTAAAACTGAAGAATAAAATACCGAACCCACGTATGGGAGGACTTGGGTAGCATTTCATCGAAAGAGTTTCTGCTCCCTACACACATTCTCTATGTATGGGAATCCTAGCCCTGTAAATAAAATCTTGACAATTTGAAAAATTGAGGCTCTTTTGTTATCTACAATAAATGAGGTGTAAAATTAGCTTTTCAGGAACATTTATTTGCTCTCAAACGTGGATCCAAGACTCGGTATTACATAACTTAGGAAAAGTATCAGTCTTTTCATTGTCTCTGGTAGAAAACAACCTTATCGGTAACATAATGTTTTCTATATAAAAAAAAAAAGTAGAGCTATCTTGTCGTTGTTAGCTCTCTGGGGAAAAACAAAACAATGTTATCAGTTTAAATACCAAGAGATCCAAGTCCTTGAGGTGTATCAGGACCTTTTAAAAAAATAATCATCATTTAGTTTAATATTGACATCCCTGTGGCAAACTCAACAGTTGGTAGAAGTTTACTTATCGCCTCTCTGGTGTTTTTACTTAAACCATAGGACATTTATTTGCAGGCAATTTTCAGCAGCCGTTTGAAAACCAGTATTTTGGAAACTGAAAGATTCAGAGATGCTCTCTGTAGATGTTGGTGTTATACACAGAACTAAGTCAGGGAGCGTGTGATGGAGAGCATCATCTTCTTAATTTTCAGTACGAACGAGATCAGGCTCTGCTTCGTGGAGCAGGACAGATGGGACGGGAGGTCCAAGAAGCATCAGATCTGCTTTGATTTCTCATGTTCCATTTGCCTGGGTCCTTCGCCTTGGTTGCCAGAGCGGTCGGGGGTCACTGTGCTCCACGGCTCATCTGTCATCTGTGGCATGCACTCCACCCGCTCCACCTTTGGCAGAAACACAAACCGGGGAGGTGCTTTTCTTCCCATTCACACGGCAGATGTCTCTGTTCCTGAGTTTTAAACAATAATAAAGACAGAAAAGCAAATCCCTGTAGTAAGAAACCAGACTTTTCAAATGAAACATTTTATTGTAAAGAGCTCCTCATAGGTATTCCTCAGGCTTCATTCCCACCCACCCTTGTGTTTTTCTGGTTCGTTTTGATTTTTTTAAAATGATGTTTATTTCAGGACTAGTGTTTCCATGGGGTGTGGTGTTACATTAAAATGACCCCCCTGCACAGCAGGGGTAGGATGTTTCTTTGTAACTTTGGTTCCGTTCCCAAGACACATCTTGTGTGATCTGCTGAAACTGTTTCCATTGCTGATTTTTTCTTTTTTCTTTTCTTTACACAATATATGTTTATAGTTCTTTTCTTCTGGTTTGACATATACATGTTTCATTAAATGCAGCATATATTGTAGATTTTCACCAGGGTGATGTAGGAACTGTCAAGTAAGAAACCTTGAATAATGGCTTTAAAACACACAGTTGTAGTCCTGGCTACAGGGTAGTTCTTAGCTTTTGATCTCCCTCTCACTGCTGTAAACATTTCTGCCATCTTTGAAGGTTTAGAAGCATTTGTCTGTCTGGGGTCTTATCCGTGTTTTCGGTTACTCTGTAAAACAGAGGGAATATCTTTAATCACCATTCTTGTCAATAGCTGAAACAGAAGAAAACACAAAATGCTTTCTTTAAAAAAAAGAAAAAGAAAAAGAAAAAAATATTCTTTACCACTTCTTGGAATTGTATGATCTTGTGTAAGTTACATGAAGGAAGTCTCTAAGCTTAATTACATTAAGTTTAAATGAGAAAATAGAACTCTCTATTTCAAGGGTTTTTGCAACATAATGCATCTAAATCGAGCAGTTCTTGCTTCACAGTATGGGGCCTGAAACAGCAGATATTATTATTACCTTTCCTTCTGGGGCCTTCCCACGCAAAACCTTAAGAAGCTCAATTGAATCATCACATCCTTAAATATTAATTTAAGATTTCAGTGACTTCCTTTTATGTCACATTTCTTCCCCAACAATGATATCCAATGACAGGTCACCTCCATCCTAAGGTCCTGACCTGAAGATTCCCCATGAAATTTGCCCCACAGGTTTCCTGGTTGACCCAAGAGATGTCCCTAAAAGGTTCCTTTCCTGGGCTATGCCAGTCAGGATTCCTAACCCCGTCCTTCTTCAAATCCATGTGTCTGTGTTTCACTTGAATAGAAGTGTAGGACATAATGCTTTCCTCCAAGAAAAGCTGGAAATGGTTCAGAGGATGTGCTATTATGTGCTGCTTAAGGTCATGGCCTTCAGGGTCTGAATGACATGGATGGAGAAAATGGGCTTTCCATTTTCTCACTGTATGTCCCTACAAGGACAAGTTCTTTCACTTCTCTAAGCCTTGGTTTCCCCTTCTATAGACTGAAGATACTAATTCTGTAGCAGGACTTCACTGGTGCCCAGGAGAGGTGACCACGATCCGAAGCGGTGGAACTGGAGCCACTGAGCCCTCCAAGGGCACTTCCAGCCCACTGTACAGAGGCAAATGCAAGATTCGAAGACACTCCCGCCATAGTGCAAGTCAGACATGTTTGGAAGTCATATTTGCACAGCCACTTTGTCTGCTTCAAAAAACTAGCTTAGACTGGGATGATAAGAGTCCCATGGGAGAACCAGTGTTAGGAAGAGAGGGAGGGACCAAGAGGCATAACTAGAGATTAGTGGTATTTGTACAAAAGAGACTCACGTGCTACTGTTCAAGTACAGAGCAACGCTCATCCTTCTTTTGTCTGCCTGTGCAGAGAACTGGAGGGGGAGGGTGGGCAGAGACCCGGGAAGTAGCTTCCTGCCCAGCAAGAAGCTGTGGCTGGCCCACCAATGGTGGGACCCAGCGTGGCAGTGGAAGAGCGTGGGCCTCCATCGGTCAGGGAATAGTGCAGCGAGCCCGCCCTGCACCGCGTCTGAAGAACTCATACATATGTCCCTGGACTGGTCAGTCTTTCATCACCTGCCTTTGAATAGACATTGAAACCCGGTCAGTGATATCCAGAGGAATAGCATTGACCACCAGGGAGAGGGCCGAGACCCCTACCCCTGGAGTGGAGAGGCACGTCTCCTGTCCCCTGCCCTCCAGCAGAGCTGAGCCTTGGCGAGGGGAGGGAAGGAGACCTCTTAGAGTCAGAGCCTGAACCTCCACCTCCACTGGGCACAAGGGACGAAAGGAGGGTGAACAGGGTTTGAGACAGAATTTTTAAACTGAGCTAGACTTCTAAGTGCTGAAAGTGACTAAAATTTGGGGGAAACAACCTGAGATTGAACTAAAGGATGAGGGAGGGAAGTAAAACAGAACCTGAGTTTTAGCTATATTTTGAGAACAATAGATTTTGTTCATCTTTACATCCCATGGGATGAGAGCCATAAACAACTGGTTACAACTAGAATAGTCTCATATTTTCTCGTAAATAAGAAAACTGATCTGATTGTATATAAAAGACACTTTAAGGTATGTGTGTGTGGGTGCGTGTGTGTGTACATGTAGTATAAAGCACACATGTATAACCCATGTCTTTCCTGTCTGTCACGAAAACCCATTTGAGTAAAACCATGTTGGTTTTAAAAAACCGTTGGACTTAAAGGAAGCCTCTCAAAATGTTAAATTGTCTGTAAACTGAGTATCTGTAAAATTGAGCATGATTTCTACAGCAAAGCCAGATGTATTCAAGTTGGCCTTCTGAATAACTGAAGACTTTGTTACCCTACAGGTCACCATTGATGACCAATAATTTTCAGTGAGCTAAACGTCAGTACACTATCACTAAAACAGTATATAACATAAATTCATCTTTGAGCGAGATGGCCCTTGGGAATGTTATGGAACTTGGGGGGGGGGTTCCTCTGAATGGGCTGTTTACCAGCCCCGAGCTTCTGTTCCATCTGCACCTGTGCCTTCTGGGTTTACTACATGCCACCAGAACCTAAGTCAACAAAGACACTGATGTCACTGCTGACTGGTGACTCTAGTATCCAAGGCCTGGTTCATAGGAGACACTTAGCAGATATTTGTTGAGATCAACTGAAAGGCTACTTGTGTTCACTATTCTTTAGGGTTTTGTAACTGCTAGAAGTTTCTTTCGGTCCTTGAGGGACACATATTTAGAATCATATGGGTAAACAAGTGTAGCTAACTCCTATTCTCTAGTTCCCACAAATAACTGAAAACTACGAGCAGCAACCACACCCCGCTTCCTGCTGTCCATGTCTCCGTGAAGGGCACCACCATCCAACCAGGTACACCGTCTGGAACCCTCAGGGCTATTCCTGACACCTTTCACCGAGTCAGCCTTCATGCCCAACTTATCATAGTCAAGTATTCAATAAATGGTAGCTGTTAATTATTACCTCCCTTTTACAGATGAGGAACCAGACACCAAGGCTGGCTAGGTAATTGGTTTATGAGAGTCCTAGTGAGGAGGACAGCATATTGAGTTGAAGCCAGAGGACCAGGGGAGGCTTCCCTGAGTCCCTGATTTTATACTGAGATGGGAAGGACAACTGGATATTAACCAGAGGATGGTGGTGTGGAAGAAGTGATCCAGGGAGATGGAAGCACGTCTTGGAATGCATGGTCCAAGACAGAATGCTGGGTACATACTAGGAATTTGGCTTTCAATGAGCCTTTCCATGTATCAGGTTCTGTGTTAGGTTGCTTTGCAAATATAATATCACTTAATCCTCAGAAAAATAATGGATGCCATTATTTGCTAATTTTTTTTACATTAGGAAATTAACATTTGGAGAGGTATAATAGTATGTATTTTATAGGGTTGTTGTAGGGATTAAATTAAAAAAATGGGTATGAAATGTACTTTTTCAACTTCAAAACAGGGTGTTCCTTATCATGTCATCACTGTCATTAAAGAAGTATTGGGTCAACAACTACGTGCTAGGCACTGTCAAGGCAGCTGGGATACAAGCGTGAAGAAAACATGTATGGCCCCTGCCTTCATGAACCTTACAGACAAAGAAGGAGAAAGTAATGAAAGAAAAATCACCCAAAAGCCAAATGCATATAAAATTTGACCAGGGGTGAAATCGAGGAAGACTTCCCTGCGGGAGTCATAAGTGAACAGATCTAGCCCTGGACAGTTTGGCTCAGCAGTTGGCCCATGAACCAAAGGGTTGAGGGTTTGATTCCCGGTCAAGGGCACATACCTGGGTTGCAGGTTCGATCTCCGGCCCCGGTTGGGGTCGTGAGGGAATCAACCGATGTATCTCTCTCACATCAATCATTCTCTCTCTCTCTCCCATTTCCTCCCTTCTATTCTATCTAAAAACCAATGGGAAAATATCTTCGGGTGAGGATTAACAAAAATAAATAAATAGAATAACTGAACAGATGGGAAAGATGAGTGAGTAGGTGTTTGCTAAATAAAGCAGAAGAAAGAGTGGTCTGTGCACAGGACAGTGGGCAAGGCCTCGCGCCGGCACGAGGGAGCACGGCTCATGCAGGGACACCCTGGCGCAACAGGAAGCCTGAGAGATTGTCTGCAGTGAGCCCATACCGGCCTCTGGTGGCCACATCTGAGGAACGGGAATATCACCCTGATGGTGAGGCTTTTCCTAGGAAAAAGGCATGATCAGACGTGTGTCTCCTAAAACTCACATGGGCTGCCGTGTGGAGAATGAGTTATAGAAAAACTGTCCAGAGGAGCAGCACGGAGTCCAGTTAACAGGGTACCCCCACTATGGAACGAGGGGAGAATGCATCTGTGCGTGTGTTCTTTCCTTTGGCCACTCAGTCTTTCAGCTATTCTCCAAATGACATCTAAAGAACAAATTGCATCGTCATCTTCGTATTTCATTCCTGTGCTACCCAGGGCTCTGCTCTGACATGTCACACATCTGCTTTCACATTCATTTACGCAGCTCTCTATCCATTTATCCCTCTGCCCTTCAGTCCCTCTGTCCACTGAAGATGTATCCAGCATCGAGTACATGCAAGCGCTACTGTAGACACTGAAGATCCAGGGGTGAATGAAGCACAAGCCCCACTCAGTGCTTTAGTAATAGTCTAATGTATGAGGCAGACAGGGAAACACTTTTAATATGACTGAATAAAGGCCAATGGACATATTTACATAAAGAAAGGACTGATTAACTGGTAAACCAAATGATTCATCTTATAGACTTCTTTTACCAATATAAAAGAATAAGGAGCCAGATTTTCCTATTCTAAACACAAACACAGTAGCAATTGGTCATATTGCCTTTTATTTTCCACAGGCCACCCTTAGGCTTTGGTGGGATCAGGGACTGATCAAATCTAAATGCACTAAGAAATAAACAACTGCATATTTTAATGAAGAACTTGTAACTACTCGAATGTGGCTGTTTTTATAATACAGTATTTGTTTTTTGTTAAGTTTTTAAAAATCAGAATAATAATACAGCCTTTTAACATGCTCTATGCTACTAGGTAAGAAGTGAAAATATTGAGCTGTCAAGATCAAGAATCCATGGTTGACCTTGGATTATTATTAAAAATGAACTAGACTACAGCATAGGGAATATAGTCAGTAATATTGTAACTTTGTATGGTGCCAGATGGGTACTGGAAATATCAGGGGGAACACTAGGCTGTACACCTAAAACTAATACAAAATAATACTGAATGTAAACTTTAATTGAAAAAATAAAACAAAATAGAAAAATGAACTGGACTGGAATATATGGATAAACGGTCGTTTCTTCCCTGTGTGGTCTTCTGACTTCATCATGAGCAAGCTGGTGCTGTTATGTTCTTCATTAACCCATTCCTCTTCAGCAGAGGATTTCCAATGGATCATTGTACCCAAAATATAACAAGTAACCTGGTGGTAGCTACTTTTGTATTCTTCTCATTTTTTTTTTTTCCTTTATCTCCCTCTATAACTCATGTGAAAGAATTAGTGGTACACTGTTTATTGGGAATAAATATACAGACTGCGTGGGAAGAAGACATCCCCTGAAAGTACAGGGGTTCCCCCGCTTAAGGGAACAGTCCCCGTACAGTGCGCAGCACGAACTGCTGAGTCAGCACCTCTGGGAGCCGAGAGCAGCTATCACATCATCACTGACAAAACCGAGTGAGGTCATTGCTAAAAGGAAAGTAGCATGAGTCCTTCCATCTTCAGGAGGGTATCTTTATCTATAATTTAAATTAGTCTTGGGTTTAAGAGTGGAATGTGAATTATTAATTTAGCAGGAACATATTCCTAGGACTGTTTGCAGCATGCTCTTACTACCTGCCAACAAGCCAAGCAGGTCTCCTCCTTCCTTCTCCCTTCTCCCTTCTCCTCCCTCCGAGCTCTGGAGATATACGCAGCGTGAATCAGTTTCCCGCAATGTCTTATTCCCCTATATTATCTAAATCCAGATTATTCTCTGCAAAGACGAGATGAAAAAGCAACGGTTTGGTTTGGTTTAGGTGGTAAACCACTCGGCAATACTAAAGGCTATAATGTCAGACATTTGCAAACTCATTAAATGTGATAGCTGTGGTTTTTATTATAATAATAATAATTATTATTATTTTTAATCCTCACCTGAGGATATTTTCCCATTTATCTTCAGATAGAGTGGGAGGGAGGGAGAGAGAAACATTGATGTGAAAGAGACACATTGATTGGTTGCCTCCTGCACGACCCTGACCAGGGCCGGGGACTGAACCACAACTGAAGTACATGCCCTTGGTTGGAATCGAACCTGAGACTCTTTGGTCCACAGGTGGACACTCTAACCCCTGAGCCAAACCAGCCAGGGCTAGCTTTTTTTAAAAAAATGATAATAGCTAAGAGTTGCTGACTACTGAATTATGTGCCAGGCAATGTGATAAGGCCTTTATGTTCATAATCTCATTTAATTCTTTTAACATAATGCCATATTAATTATAACTATTTTATGGAACAGAAAACCTAATTTCAGGAGATTAAAGTCTATCCATGACACAGCTAGTAAATAGCAGGATTCAAACTTAACAGTCGATTTAACTTTAAGGCTGTATGCTCTAAACTACTGGTTTATTTCTTTATTCATTTATATTTTTTTCAATTACAGATAGCATGTGATGCTATTTTGCATTAGTTTCAGGTGTACAGCCTAGTGGTTAGACAACCATCTACTACAAAGTGTTCCCCCGATATTTCCAGTGCCCACCTGGCACCACATAGACATTACAATGTTTTATACCACCCACATACACTGTTACCTTAATTTGCTATATTATTATTATCATTATTTTTTATTCTCACCCGAGGACATTTTTGCATTTATCTTCAGACAGAGAGGGAGTGAGAGAGGGAGGAAGAGAGAGAGAGACACATCGACTGGCTGCCACCCACATGACCCCAACTGGGACTGGGGACAAACTGCAACTGAGGTACGTACCCTTAGCGGGAACTGAACCTGGGTCTCTCTGGACCGCGGGCCGATGCTTTAACTGCTGAGCCAAACTGGCGACCGCACTATATTATTATTAATAATGTTTTTTATTCAACAATTACTAAGTGTCCATTATGTGCTACTCTGGAGGAAAAGCAATCCATATCTTGTACCTCCCTCAAGGAATTATTTTTAAAAATGGAAAAAAGGTCTAGAGAGGAGGACACTGTTATTTCAAAATCCAATAAGTAAGAAGTACCACACAAAGTGGGGAGAATACCTCTGGTTGCTGATATATGTGCACATAAATGATGCTCAAAATGTGAGAGAAATGCCCTCCTTCATTTGTGGGGCAGGATGGTGGGGAAAAATGGACTCGACAGGGAGGCTGTCTGGGTGCACATCTTAGTCCTGAGAACGTCGCCGTGCGGCCTTGGGAAAGTCACATGCTGCCGTTCCTCCGACTGAACAAACAAGCAATGAAAGCAACACCTGCTTCGTTGGGGGTTTTGTGCGGATTTGTGTATCTTGCTTAGCAGCACCTGACATGTGAGTGTTAGCTGTGGTTGTTTTCATGTGCAGACATACTCGTTTTCTAGCTAGTCTTTATTCATGAAGTTGCTCTTTTCTTTCCTAAACCACCACGGAGTACTTGTGTCTCATGGACTTTATTTGCCCTGTTTATTTATTTATTCTTTGTCGGAGGGCTGTTTGTTTTCTGACGCTCTGACTGTTCTGATCCAGTCTTAGAGAATCTCACCCATTTCACTTGTGATGTTCTCCTTCAATTTGAGAGACTCAGTCCTGCTGCTAATGTGCTGCTAGGCTACCGCCCTTCATGTCAGACAGAGGGTATGTGTCATTCGAAAAGGAACTCTTTTTGGAAGGAGTAAAGCCAGAGAGTTGGTTATATGAAGACATTAACTTCCTGGGCATATCTGCCTAACTCCTCCCTTGAACATGCTGAAGGCTTTCTGCTTGTGATTTCCACCTGTAGGTCACAGAGTTGATACCCACGGAGAGAGAAAGTGTCTCTCTTCCACATCTCAACTTGCTACAGAAAATGTTAAACAACATGAGGTCCAGGAAAGATCCTTGAATAACATAACTTAATGGGATAACCAAAGTTGGCACAGACCGTGGTAAATGTATTTAGAACAGCACTTTGCCCTTTCTCATTTTTAAGTGGCAGTACTGAGATCTGTGGATTCTACACCTGGGTGGGCATCAGAATCAACTGACATGCTTGCTAAAAGCATAGAGCACTCCTTGCTCTCTGTCTTTCCCACCATGGATCTCACCTTCATGTCCGTTATTCTGCTTCGTTAAGTCACAGGAAGGCCAGGGAATCTTTATTTTTAATGACATTGGGAATCATTGTCTAAGATTACTTATACATGTATTCATGAGACATGGACTTAAGTTAGCAATTATAAGACTCTTCTTCTTCTTTTTTTTTTCCTAAATTGACATTAACAATAATCTTATTTGAAAACCCAAGATCCAATTTCACTTTCCTGTGTTCTGATGAAGAGAGATGAGGAGAAAGAGTTAAAAAAAAATCAATCATTATTAGTTTGTTAAGATTCACAGAAATCAGAATTTTCAAGCTGGAAAAGATACTAAAAATATATTTCTTCATTTTGCAGATATAGAAGCAACTTCTCTGTGTAATGATTACAATGAGAATACTGAGATCCATAAACATCGTGACTCCCCCAAGCAAAACTGTTAACTAGGAAAAAAAAATCTTGATTCTCATTATACTTTATAGTTGCTTTATTTTTCCAATAAACACCCAAATAGATTGGATCTGTTTCTCATTTTATGGCATTTATGCTAATCAAACCAAGTGTATTTTTTTAAACATGAGCATGGTAACTACACGTATATACCGAACAGAACCACATTTTGAGAATTAAATGGAATCTTACCTTTAAGAGGCACCTTGACATCAAGGCCATAGAATAAAGGCAAGAGAGAAGAACAAGAATAGAAACAGAAACTGCAGAAGAAAAAGAAGAAGATTATGTAAATCTGAATTTCTGTAGTGCCATTCAGGTAGTACAAAACCTTAGCTTTTCCACAGTGCTTGTCTGATCACTTCTCACATACTACATAACACCAAGTACCTTTTGTTTCAAAAAAACACACCTTTTATTTGTCTGCTGGCAAAGCAACACAATGAATAACTAACATCAACTCCCACATTTTAGAATCCTCAGCATGTCTTACAGATAACTGGTCTAAGCCCCTAATTTTATGACTGAGAAAAATAAGCACAGAGAAGTTTATCAGTTGATTACTTTCACATAATTTCAAGGCATAGAGAAGTTTAGAGCTTAGACCTCCTGAGTCCTACTCTATTATATGTCATTGTCTCAATTTTTAATGTGTGGGAGGTTATTTCTAAAAACACAAAATATGATCAGAGCATACACTTAATCACTCAATGCTTTCATTGTTTGGTTAATGTATTAGGTTTTAGGGCTAGGGCACAGCAGGAAGAATATTAACGTGTAGGGTGAACATATGATTAATTACCCACAGTGGGGTACCCCAGAGAGGGAAATGGGATACTCTCAGTAATTACACTAGGGCAACAGGTATAAATTGAGTCTGTCCTGTACATATGAGTTTGTGTGGCCATCCTACTGGTGTGAAATGTGTGGACACATTGGTGGACCCTTGGATAATGTGATGCTGTTCCAGCCTGTCATGCTTCTGAGATAGACCGCGCCCTACTTGACTTACAGAAGCTAAACGAAGCCGAATTTGTTTCTTTTTATCAAAGATCTTCACTAGTGAAGCAGATACTCACTTGGTGGACCAACAGATCTTGGGTAGCACTAGCATACAACCAACGCTGCTCATTATAAAAGGTCCCAGGTCAGGTCAGATTTTTCAAATACTGGTGTCTTTGGTGATTTACCGAGTCAAGAAGTGTTTTGCCTTTTGTCACTCACAAGACCATTCTGTTGCCCATGACCTCTTGTATGGCCCGCACGGCATTCTCATATGGACATGTTATTTGCATAGCTCCTTTAATGCCATTGCTTGTGAGGCTCTTGCCTCGCTATGGCAAGATTGTAGGAACAAGTTGTAAATGTGGTGCCAATAGCCACGTGTTGGTGACGCTTAGTCTAAAATGCAGAAACTGCCCTTTACATTTCATTCCTTGAAGATGGAGAGGGACATGATGGTACATGTAGCAGGAGAGGATGGAGAAGGGGAGGAAGGAAGGCTCCCACCCTTCCTAGGAGAAGGTCACACAGCAGCACTGCCTCTCTGGGCATGGATGAAGGGTTGCCCGTCACTCAGTCTGGAATGAGATTCTTAGTCAATGCAGGGCTGTGGGCAGACCTCTGGTCCTGATTTGCCATGGATTGGTTATACAATCTTGGGAAAGTGGTTTAATCTCTGAGCTATCATTTTATTATCTGTATAAAAGGGGATCTTAATGTTCACTGGGTCTGAATCAGAGGAATGAGAATCAGATGAAATGATGGAAGTGGACGTGCTTTGGATGTGGTGAAATGCTGCACATTTGGGGCAGTTTTGCTGTTATCGGCTGATTTATATTAACTGTGTATATGGGAATTAGGAACAAAGAAAGTTTTATGTCCCCTGAGAGGATGCTCAAGGATCCCAAGGGAAGGAATGATGACTATGTCTGACATAAGTGGTCTTCAGTCTCTTTACTAGGCTTGTGGACAAGTAGAATCTAGGACAAGTACATAGAAGAATAGAAGGTGCTCATCTCTCATTCAGATTCTAGTCAGAAACAAACTGGGTTCTCTTAGAAGTGGCTTCATTTACTGCTGTGTGTGGAACGTGTTGCTTTGCTAACTAAAGACTCCATATTTGCTTTTAAGTATATTATTTCATGATCATAAATGTTTAGGGAGGTCAGACCTGTGAAATGAAAAGTTCACATGGAATTCTGAACTAAACATAATCTTAACCTCTCCCCTCCCAACATTTCCATGGGGTTTATTAAGAGAATGGCCAGGGTGGTGACATTAGTAGATATTATTATTTTTTAAATCCTTGTTTGTTTTCTCCCTCAGTTAAATGGGGCCTGACCTGAACTAAAGTTTCTGGGGCAAACTGTCTTAACCATGACTTTGTCCTTGAGCCAGCACCAGGACTGGTTAACGATTGGCAGAGAGAATGATTAGAGCCAAGAACTCGGCATTCAGAAACGTGGGAATGGAGACACTGAGTGTCCTCTGACAGCCAGGGGAGCTGTAGGGAAATCCCGCCTTCTGTGCATCTTCCTGCCACGTACTTGGGAAATCAGACTGAACCCTTGGTTTAACTTTGCCTCATTCAGTCCTGCAGAACTAAATAGCATACTTCTGATGTGAGGAAAATGCAAATTTAAAATTTTATAGAAGTATATTTTATGTTTGGATATTTTTAAAATTATGTTTTTAGCCTGGCCAGTGTGGCTCAGTGGTTGAGCACCTACCCTTGCACCAAGAGGTCACCAGTTCAGTTCCTGGTCAGGGAACATGCCCAGTTTGTGGGCCTGATCCCCAGTGAGGGGCATGCAGAAGGCGGTCAATTGATGTTCTCTCTCAACCATGTTTCTCTCTCTAAAATCAATTAAAAAATAATAATAATAAAGAATTATACTTTTAAATTAGACTTATACTTTCTTAGTGTTTTCTAATATTCACAGAAGTGACCTAATTTATTCCTCATAGAGAAGAGGTGAAGGCAAGTTACACAAGGGGTGAAATCACTTTTCCAAGGTCAACTAAGGACCTGAAGACTAGGTCAGCATAAAAATGCAGGTGGCTGACGGTCTGGCTACTGGCTCCTGCCAGCCGCTCCTATCTCACATACGTAGACAACTACCACAGCACCTGGGGATGAACCAGATTCCAACCACTGTCTCAGAAATGGCAGATGGTTTGCTATTTTCTTCTTGGGTGACTTCGGAACATACTGCAAAACAACCACATTCTTTTGCAGCTCCGGGATCAGGTGGCTGCTTCCAGTCAGTCAGAACGCTGCGACTCCAGGAGACCCTCTGCCATCTTTGCTGTGTTCCTCAGCGGGTGCTCCTGGCATCACGGGAGGATGCTTTGTGTTGTGCTAGACTGTTTAACTCACGGCAGCTTGTTCAGCATCCCTGCACGAACCCCTTTTGTCCCACCACACACAGCTGCAAATGTCCCCTTTAAGGACCACCATGACCCCAAAGAAGTGCTGGCTCACTTGGAGGAAGCAGAGACTCTTTCAGGTCACTGGGGCAAATGACACGAGGGTATTATTATCCTGTGTCAATCTCAATTTTTGGATTTATTATTGAAGTGAAACTGCAGTATCAGGAACAAAGGGCTTTTGGAAATAATAATGGGATTTTGAAAAAAGTGCTAAACCATTTTACAAAAAAAAAAAAAAGCAAAACTCAAAAGAAACTTCTGAAAAGGAAATAAAGATGCAGAAGAGGAAACTGAGGAGAGAAAACACAGAAAAGGACGGGGACCAACACAAGAGACAAAAACGCCAGGTGCGGTTACTATGGCAGACCTGTGCTGGCACCCCGATGCCTGACTAGGGGTGACATCTACCTGCCTACACGAGACATCTACCTGCCTACACGAGACACGCAGTAACTGACAAGAAAGAAAGAACCCACGTAGCGCGTGAAACGGATATCATTGTCTGATTACAACATGTGATTAAAACAGAAATTGCACTTAACACATACCTTTTCTTCTAAGTCCTTTATCTGTCTTTTCTGGATGTCTGTTTTGTCCTCTAAGTCACGGATTCTCTATAGAAGGAAGGAAAAGGGAAAGCAGTGTGGGCATTCGGTTGAACAGAAAGACTGTTCATCAACCTGAAACAGTCAACTTTCTATGAAACATCAACACCAGTCCTGGCAGCTGGAACGATTACATACATGTTTTTCCACACATTGCTGCATTTTCAAAATGACCTGTGGAAAATCATTGTCATTGATTCTATTTAAAAAATATTTGCTCACCCTCTCTCCTGGGTCTATTTCTGCAGACCCCTCCCTGTGAGAGAGATCGAGTCCCAACCCGTTGTCCTTAGGCTTGGCCATGGGACCAATTGGCCAGTGGGATTCACTTGTGGGGATGCAGTGGTGTGACCCAGACTAGTAAGCAAGAAACAAAGTGCTGTTAACCATTTGGATTAAACTTTTGGGCTGGTTGTTGCTACAGTAAAACATGGCAAAAGCTGATGAACACAAATGTAAACAAGCCCGTTGCTTTTAGCTAACCTTTCTCTTCAATCTTATTTTATTTTTTATCCTCACCCGAGGACATTTTTCCATTTTTTGTTCAGATAGAGTGGGAGGGAGAGAGGGAGGGAGGGAGGGAGGGAGGGAGAAAGAGAGAGAGAGAGAGAGAAACATCGACGTGAAAGGGACACATCGAGTGGCTGCCACCTGCACGACCCAACCAGGGCTGGAACAAACTGCAACCGAGGTACGTGCCCTTAGCGGGAACCGAACCCAGGTCTCTCTGGACCGCTGGCCAACACTCTAACTGCTGAGCCAAACTGGTCAGGGCTCTCTTCAACCTTATTTTAACTCTGTTCCAGGGTGGAATTTCCCCTCAAAACACGACTGGCCAGTTCTCATAATATACAGTAGAGATTACACGTCCATAAAAATTTCAAGGGGGGAGGGAATTGATAAATTAGGGGAAAACAACAACAACAACAACAAACAAACAAGAAAAATAGCACAAGTAATCCGAAGACAAAAAGGTTCCAGGACTCTTTGATCTTGTCTGTCAACTATACAATAAAATTCCAGTGATTTAAATAGCCCAGATTTGAAATCGACATTATAGAGACAATTATGTGCAAGTGAAAAGGCTTCAGATGTCTACCTGACAATCTAAAGGCCCTTTATGTTCAGGGCACATGGTCCCACCTATGGTACAGTGTAGGCTTGTTATTTCATGCCTTTTTGGGAATAATGAGAAAATGGAGAATTGGAGTCTGAGAAGCAAACACTGGAAGCCGAATGGGGTGATCACACAGAAAGAGAGGTTTTATAATGCAATGTGAAGAGAAAAGAGGGAAGCTAGAACAAAGAATACTTGAACTTGGAAATCACATTCGGCTTTCTCTAAAGTAGTGGTCCTCAGCTGGGGGTGAGTTAGCTCCCAGCAGACATTGGGTGATGTCTGTATAGTTTAAAAGTTAGTTGGCTAGTTAATTTATTTTAAAGTGTAGAATTTTGTGGTTTTAGTATATATAGCTGTCTGGAATTTTTAAAAACACATGTGATCACTGGTCACAATGGGGGTGGTAGTGTCGATGTAACAAGCATCCAATGGGCAGGGCCCAGGATGCTGCTAAATACCCTATAATAGTAGGACGGCCCCCACCATAAAGAGTCATTGTCCAACATAGTAGTAGTGCAGAGACTGAGAAATCCTGCTTTAAAGGAAAGAGGCTGAGGTTTGTGTAGGAGAGGATGGTGTGTTTTGGCCAGAGAGATCATGAGGGCTGACCTTGAAGTTACACTGTGGACGCTGGAGAAGGGAATGGGACTGCAGTGCGGATGTCGTGTGTCCATGTGTGTGATGTGTGTGCTTGTGTGTGTTTCCATAGTGCTGCTCGTGCCCCAAAACAACAAAGCAAAGAACAAAATTGCAGGACATTTCCACCGTGAGCGTGTAGATAATTCCTTGGTATATCCGCCGGATGTGGAAACAAGTTTATATCAATATAACCAGAGACCACTGCAGTATCCATTCATCCATCAAGTCGGTGCTTGTGGGGCAACCCCTTACATGTTCAGGAAGATGCTGGATATTATGGAGACTACAGATAAGGCATCAATTAGTTCCTGACCTCCAAGAACTACCAGATCCAGATGGGGAGACAAAATTAAAACACAGGGGAAAACAAAGCAGAAGCGGTAATCAGTGGCAAAACCATGTGTAACTTCACCACCAAAGTCCAATACTTTGTACAGTGTTCAGCACAAAGAGGGTGTCTGTACATATTTATTGCATGAGTTAGTTAAGCTACATTGTGTGATGCATGCTTTATTTCTTTTTCCTTCCTGACTACTCGGCATCCACTCCAAAAGGAAATGCTGTCAGATTGAATATAGATCCCTTTCTACCGACTTTAATCTCTGCTGCGACTAACTACACCCAGTCACTGTTGGGCCTCGTCAGGACTGGTATGAGCTCACTGCCAGCTCTTCCTGCTTCTGGTCCTGTCCAGTCTACCTCCACCCATGGCAGCCAGTGTGAACTGTCAAAATGTGAAACAATCACCTCCTGAGTTTTAAGGGGATGAGGAAAGGGAAGTAGGGAGAGTTAGCTGGGCTTCACTCAGAATAAAACTCCAGCTCCTTCCAGGCCCTCCATGATCTGGCCCCGTCTTACGTCTGCAACGTCACCTCATATCAACACCCGCCCTTGGCTCTGTGTGCTCCAGCCATACTGGCCTTCTCTCTGTCCCCCGAGTATTCCAAACATACACAATACAGACATGGTCCCTGCTGTCCCCTATCTGGGACACTTTGCCAAGTGTCTAGTTCCTTGGGTTTTAGATGTCTTTGGAGAGGCCTTGTCTGACCAGCCCTTCTAACGTGGCCAGTCCAACTCCCAAACTCTCTCTCTCTCTCTCTCTCAGTCCAACTCCCAAACACTCACTCACTCTCTCTCTCTCTCTCTCTCTCTCTCTCTCTCACACACACACACACACACACACACACACGCACACACACACACTGTGTCATTTTCTTCATAGCACCACTGCCCTTCCCTGAAACTGCCTCGGTCATTGTCCCTGGGTGCTACTGCTTTGTCCCTCTTCATCTGAGGAAAGAGGAGGGCAGTGACCTGCATGTCGTGTCCGCCGTCACCTTCCCGGCACCGGGCACAAGCAGGCCCTCGATAAACAGTTTTGAATGAGTGTAGAACGAGGTACGAGACGCTGAATTTTTTCAGTAGTATGTGGTCCATTGCTTTCACCAGAGGGAGCCTCCTGGAGGAGGTGACCTGAAACTGGGACTGGAAAAGTGAGACGGTTTGGACGAGCACAGCAAACGCTGAAGGGCATTTTAGGGTGAGCACCCATGGGAACAGTCTTGGAGGTGGGAAGACATGGTCCAAGTGGCACCAGGAAGGGTTCGGCATGAGTCAGAGAAAGGTATGCTCCGAGATTCTTTCAAACCACTAATTTTGGGGGGGGGGGGTGCCAGCTAATGAAGGGCCTGGAGAGACCTGCCTAGGGCCGGACTCAGCTGGAAACTAGGATCATGGAGGCTTTGGAGGAAGAGTGGACCATAAGTATCCGTGATGAAGAGTGAGGTGAGTGAGGTCTTCCCCACAAGTAGGTTTCCATGGGACTGCACAGGAGGTTGTTATGCCACTTATCACAAGACATCATAATTATTTTTCTTTGTGCTAATCTCCTGTGTCTCCATCTACATAGACTTTTTTTTTATCCTCACCCAAGGGCATTTTTCCATTTTTTGTTCAGATAGAGTGGGAGGGAGAAAGAGGAAGAGAGAGAGAGAGAAAGATCGACGTGAAAGGGACACATCGAGTGACTGCCACCCGCACGACCCAACCAGGGCCGGGGACAAACTGCAACGAGGTACATGCCCTTAGTGGGAACTGAACCCAGGTCTCTCTGGACTGTAGGCCAACGCTCTAACTGCTGAGCCAAACTGGCCAGGGTTCCATCTACAGAGATCTTAAGCTCTGTAAAGGCAGGGTCCGCGGTGAATTCTCTATGTCTAGCACGATACATCACATCTAGGAAATGCACAGAGGGCGGTGTCAGATTACCTCTGAGGACATTCAGGAGCACCTGGAAGCTGTTACAGTAATGAAAGCTCTTACATGTGCCTGAAACAGCAAGTGTGAACAAGACAGACCCGCTGCAGAAAACATTTCAGGACAACGCCAGGTGGACGTCCTGCCTCGTTAACCATTGGTGATAAAGGACCAAGAAAGCTCCAGAGTTTCCAGCCTGAGTGCTTAGGGACATGGTGATTCTATTGATCAGGCAGATGAGGACAAAAGTGAGAAGTAGGGATAAGAGTGAAAAATTAGGTCTATTTCACAGAACTTCACCGTGAAACATTCAAACAGAAATGTCGAATAAATGGTTACTGATATGCTCTAGAATTTCTACTGCCTTACATACTTCTACATGACCAATCCTAGCCAGTACTTTCTGGAATAATTCTCTCAAATCAAAGCTACTGTTTAAAATATCCTAATGAACACTCGTTCTGGAGATAAAAGGGGTCAGTGGAACTGTCTGAGGCTTAGAAATGTAATGTACCTATCAGCTTAGACAGGCTAACTTAAAATACACCAACTCTTTTGTGAGTGAAGTACCTCAGCTGATTAAAGAGAGACTTAAAAGAGATGATAAGGTTTTAATCATAAATAAATTGAGATAGCCTGGCTGGTATGGCTCAGTGGTTGAGTGTCGACCCATGCACCAAGAGGTCGCCGGTTCAATTCCGGTCGGGGCACATGCCCAGGTTGTGGGCCAGATCCCCAGTGGGGTCATGCAGGAGGCGGCCAATCCATGTTCTCTTTCATGGATGTTTTTATCTCTCTTTTTCTCTCTCTCTAAAATCAATAAAGAAAAAATAAATAAATTGAGATAATTATCTGTCCATCTTAAAAAATAAACACTTCTGTGGTTCCATGACACAACTCCTGATTTGTTGAAGTGAATTAAATGCTTGGTGGCATAAGAAATTGATGCAGAAGATACTTTCATTCCCTGAAAAAGGAAAGGCGGCCTGCAGTAATGTAATGATGCCACGGAGTCTGTTATTCAAGGCTTCACACACTCTTCCCAGGGTCAAAACCCAGACCTTTAGCATGGAGTCTGAAGGGGCCTTGAGACAAACAGGATGTGTTGATCACCTCCTGACAAATGGCTTCCGAGTTCCCTGTTAGCCTGGGGATCTGTCAGCCTAGAGATCCACAGCTCCTGGCTACATCTGAATATGCTAAGTGTTAAGTTGCCCATATACTGTTCTTATTGGTGTTATCAAGTAACCCCTGTTCCTTTTCCACTCACCTTGATCTCGTGATGACCACATGAGAGTCTTACTTCTTGTACAGAGTTTGCATACCAAATACTATAGCCTGGCACCTCCAATTCTGGAATTCTTACGGAATCTGCTTTTAATCTATTCCTCACCTGCTAAGCTATGACATGGACTAAGAATTGGATGAAGAATTTTGGCCTGGCTGGTGTGGCTCAGGGGTTGAGCATCAACTTACACACCAGGAGGTCCCTGGTTCGATTCCAGGTCAGGACACAGTGGAGGGTGTGCAGGAGGCAGCCAATGTTTCTTTCCCTCGTCATCTATATTTCTATCTCTCTCTCTCTCCCTTCCTCTCTCTGAAATCAATAAAAACATATCTACAAAAACTTTATAAAAAAGAATTTTGGCTAAAGTGAATACCATGTGTCTATTTTGAACCTCACTTGTATAGACACATCATATAAATCATACATGACTCAAGCTGCATATGTATAATCAAGTGGTTATGTACACTGGCCTTGCAGTCAGGTGGACCTGGGTTGTAATCCTGCTCTGTTGCTTCCTATCTGTGTCCTCTTGGGCAAATCATGTAAGCACTCTTGTTTCAGAATCATTATCTCCTCAACTGGGACAGTAAGGGACCTTACCTTCATGGGCTCTTGTGAAGATGAAATGAAATGAGTAAGTAGAACCCTTAGTTTATTTGCTGACATATAGCAAATGCCAGGAAGTAGGTAGCAGCTTCCAAGCTTTGTTGTTGCTGCTGCTGCTTGTGCTGGGAATAAGACAAAAGTCCCTGTGTTCTTGGACCCTATTCAGATTGTGTATCAGGATAGGTATGGACTGGGCTGAGTAAGAGGAAGAAAGCATTATTCTTGTCCTGGGGGAAGTCCTGCCTTCCTGCATAACAGAGATAATCAGGCGTCATGAGATTCAAAGTGTATTTCATGACGAAGCAGTTACAAAAACTAGTAGCCATATGCAGTGCTTCTAAAATGCCAATTTTCTTAAGGGCGAAACAGTCACCCTTTATCTGAATGTAGGTAGAAAACAACAGTTATTTATTTTACTCTCTGAAAATGGCTTCTAGCTCCTGGGCTTCTCCATACCCATACTCATTATAATGTACTCAGTGCTAAGTCCCATTTGCTTCGTGCCGAGCCTACCCGGGCCTACCCGGGAGTCCCCCATCCTCACCTGGTGTGCTTGCTGCAGGAGCTCCATCCTCTCCTGCAGGATCTGACAGTCATACTCTCGGCTCTTCCTCAGCATCTGCCGCCGCAGCTTTTCCACGGCCGTCCTCAGCTCCTCTTGCTGCTTTTCACTTAATAATTCACCAAACTTGATAACCGTTTCTTGCTGCAGAGCATTGTACAAAGTAGCTTCTAGTTCCTGGATTCTCTGGCAAATAGAATGAGCAAAGTCTAACTTTGGAACTTAGCATTTCTGGGTAGTGTGTGAGTGTATACATGCATGTGTGAATGGAAAAGGATGCATTCTCTTTGTCTGACAGGATCGGAGCAACAAAATAAACTTCATAGCTTATCCAGACTAGCTGCCCTCTGGGTGATCCCCTTTATAAGATTCTGTAAGAGTGATCTGGTCAATAATTTCACTTCTTGGATAATGAGAAACTAGTTCTTTTCCTTGGACAACCTTCAGTTTTAGAAAGTTCTTACTTTGTTAGAATAACTGTGCATCCTTCTATTCTCAAATGTAGCTGAAAATAAGTTTGTTTTCTCTTCCATTTTGGCAGGCCTTAAGGTATTTAAAGACATCTATTATGGTGGCCATACTTTTAGAAACAAGTATTGCAAAGTGGTCAAAGTTGGAATAAAATACTTGAAGTTAGAGATAAATTCCATGCACAAAATGCCACGTCTCTTCCACATAACATATCTCTGTTCCTGAAGATGGTGTTACAATCTCCATATTTGCTCTTAAAATAAAAATTAGGAAATATGATCTAAAAGTGGCTGACAGTCTCTGGAGTTGGTCTGTTTTTAAATGGTCTGAGACTTACAGTTGCTCTAGCTAGAAAAATGCCTCTCAAATCTTCTCTTTTTGGATGAAAAGTCTATTCTTCCTTACATTCCAGTTTTTTTTTTGTTTTTTTTGTTTCCAAAATATACAATCTTATTCCCTATGACCTTGACAGAGGTAAATGGATGTGCCCTGGTGAGAGATGTTTTCCTAGCTCTTGTCCTGGACTATGCAAATTTCATCTTTTTAAAGTTAAATATCGGCCCAGCTGGTGTGGCTCGGTGGCTGAGCATCAACCCATGGACTAAGAGGTCCCAGTTCTATTCCCAGTCAGGGCACATGCCCAGGTTGTGGGTCCAGTCTCCAGTGGGGGACATGCAGGAGGCAGCCAACTGATGTTCTCTCTCATCGGTGTTTCTCTCTCTCTCTCCCTCTCCCTTCTTCTCTCTCTAAAATCAATAGAGAAAAATTATTTTAAAAAATGAAGTTAAATATTGCTGTCTGAACAAGAACTCAGTGATCGGACACAAATACACAGCTCAGTCCTTTTATGTACAGACAGAGGAGGCAAGGAGAAAGGGTGGGAAGAGAGGGGAAGAATCATTTCCTTCTGTATATTCTAGTGACCAACTCATTCTCCCCTTTTCCCATCAAGTAATGCTCAGAACCTTTTATTCATTTCGAGGTGGGGGAAAATATCAATTCATCTTTGTTCCAAGCAGAAACTAAGTGCTTCGTTCTTTTCCCAAAAGCGACATAGGCTGCTTCCGGGAAGGCATGGTAACCTCTACCGGCAACTCCCTGAAACACTCCTCTTCCAAGTTCACTCTCTTTCTCTTGAGTCATTATTGTGAATTAATGGGGCGGGGGAGGAGGGTGCATTTGGAGAGAAGAAATGCAAGCTATAGTCCAATATCAGGAATTGCTTATTATGACTTTTGTACAGGGGAACGGATCAAGTTGCTCCTCACTCAGCTGACCTGTGGGACAGAAGGCACAGCCCCTCTACTGAGTGCGGTAGTTCAGGCCACCGTGTCTGCAGTCAGAGCTAAATGTTGATCCAAGTTGAGCAGAGTTCTTTCATTCTCAAAGCCTCGTGTCCTCATATGTATTATAGAAATAGCATCATCTATACTTCATAGGGTTGTTGTGAGATATACCACTATATATATATATATATAGTATCTATATAAAGATGTATATAACAGCCCCAGCCAGTGTGGCTCTTTTGGTTGGAGCATTGTCTCCTACACCGAAAGGTCACAGGTTCCATTCCTAGTCAGGGCACATACCAAGGTTGTGGGTATGATCCCTGTTGCGGTGCATGTGGGAGGCAACTGATCAATGTTTCTCCTACATCAATGTTTCTTTCTTTCTCCCACTCTCTTCTTCTCTCTCTCTCTCTAAAAAAAAAATGAACAAAAAATAAAACCTCTTAAAAATGCATATAACATTAAACTAATATTAAAGACTTTATTACTGTATCCCTAGATTAGGCTCCCAATTGGATTTAATTCATTTTCTCTTCAATCTACACTGCCATATTATATAATGATGCATTTAATTAAAAATTTTAAAGGTATAATTAGGTAGTTATTAAGCATTATAATAATATTATAACAGCAAAGAGCTACAGATAATATTTTCTAAAATAAGTACTGGAAACCATTGAATAAATAAACCATTGCATATCGTGGTCTATTCGAGTATGTGACATGACAAATTAAACAGGACACTTTCCTCCCAGTATGTGATGTAAACACTCCAGGTGTTTTGGTTGCTTGTTTTACCTACCATATATGCTTGGTCAAGCGCTTGTTTCCTGTAGTCTAGTTCTTCCTCCAGATAGCCTTTGATTTTGCAGAATTGTTCCTATAAAACAGGGCCATGTTGATAAATAGAGTCAGCTTAGTTAACCAGAAAGTGATATATAATTGTATCGATCAATGTTTTCTCTAATTTCTTCGCAAGACAAATCACTAGTATTTGTAGGGTCATCGATTTCGTCTGTTAGGGAAATAGTTCAACTTTCATCGTCTCTCGAAGACAATGGGAAAATCAATGGAAAGAAGCATAAAAGACATAATGAACACTCCACATGGAATGCTTTAAAGGATTTTTATGCCAATCCAAGAGTATGTGATCAAGGATAGATTTTGACAAGATAAATGTTAACTAATAAGTATATCTGTGCAAAAATATTATGATAGTGTATTTTTGTAAGAATGCTATAAGGTGTAATAGAGCAGATTTGAGTTGTATAATAAAGAACTCATCCAAAGCCAGCTGTGCATGATGAGCAAACACACAGACAGATGAATTTAGAGAGTGGTGGTGATTCCACCCACCACCACAGAGCCTCTTAACCACAGTGCTCAAAGCCAGCATGAGCTGGAGACTTGCATCTCATGTTCCCTTGCCATCCTCCGCTTCTGTGACTCTCATATTGTGAGCATTTTGCCATTAGTATTTAAAAATATATTTTCACGTATAATATAGCCCCAGGTAAGTCATCTTATTTCTTTATGTGCACCACTGCTTCTAGCACATAACTGTCTGCATGAGTACTTTTGCTGATGACTTTCTTGATTACCTCTGAGCTCCAGTACCTAGGACAGTTCCTGATACAGGTTGAATGTGTAATTAACATTTGTGCATTTAAAGGTTTTTTCCAAAGGTATTTTCTATATAAACAGTTCTTGTTATGCACTTTGACTTTAGAACCTAACTTCTTGATAAAATTTAAGCCCTGTGTAAAATATAAGCAAATGATCTATAATCTGTCACATACTATATAAATGCAAGTGGTTCTTATTACAGGATTCCCTAACCTGATATACTACTTGCTTTTTTTAGTTTTTTTTTTTTTTTAGTAATAATAACATTAATGGCAGTACAGTTATACAATTCTATTATACATTGCTGTAAGTTAATAATGGCCAACTCCTAGGCTTGGAAATTAAAAAGTAATAATTAATTCTGGTAAAATACACACAATATAAAATTTACCATATTATCACTTTGCAGTGTACAGTTCAATAGTGTTAAGTATATTCACATTGTTATGTAACCAAGCTCCCAAACACTTTCCATCTTGCAAAACTAAGACTTTATATCCATTAAACAAAAACTCTTTACTTTCTCCTCCTCTTAGCTCCGACAACCACCATCTACTTTCTGTCTCTATGAGTTTGACTACTCTAGATACCTTGTATCAGTGAAATAATAAAGTATTTGTTTTCTGTGACTGGCTTATTTCACCTAGCATCATGTCCTCAAGGTTCATCCATGTCACAGCATATGTTGGAATTTTCTTCCTTTTTAAAGGGTGACTAATATTCCATTGTATGTATAACCACATTTGCTTACCCATTCATCAATTGATAGACACTTGGATTGCTTTCACATTTAAGGTATTGTGAATGTTGCTCCTTGAACATGGGTGTACAAATATCTCTTTGAGACCCTGTTTTCAATTATTTTGTGCGTATACCCAAGGTAATATTCCTGGATCATACATTAATTCTATTCGCAACTTTTTTGAGCAATCGCCACTTTGGTTTCCGTAGTGGCTGCCCGCCCTGTCACAGTTCCATCAACAGTGCACAAGGTTCCAATGTCTCCATAGCCTCACCAGTGCTTGTTATTTTCTGTTTTTTTTTTTTTGTTTTTTTTTTGAGAGTATCCATACTAATGGGTGTGAAGTGGCTTGGAGATTTTCAAAATCAGAGTTATACCCACTATTTCTGTAATGTTTGCTAAAATTATACATGTTAAAAAATTATTTAACCTAAGAGAAAACTCCTAACTGAATTTTCTTCAGCATTAGTTTTGGAAATATTACAAAAATACATGAGCCCATCTGGTATGGCTCAGTGGATTGAGCTTCGTCCAGTGGACTGAGATGTCCAGGTTTGATTCTGAGTCGGGGCACTTGCCCGGGTTACCAGGCTCGATTCCCAGTAGGGGGCATACAGGAGGCAGCTGATTGATGTTTCTCTCTCACATTGATGTTTCTCTCTCTCCCTTCCTCTCTCTCTAAAAAAATCAATAAAACATATATTTTTTAAAAAACATGATTGTTTTGGAGAATACAACTTGAAGTTGTTGGATACTTCTGGGAATTTTGTTCCACAGTCTGTAAACAAAACAGTGGTAAGTTTACAAACTTTCATCCCTGCCAAATAGAACTGGCAGAAAACAGTTATTTCCCATTTGCCTGGTCAAACTTTCTTCAGTTTTATGATCTGTCATCTTTGTACTTACCATGTCACTTTCCAATTCCATCATTTTCTGGTGCAGGGCAGCCTCTGCTCCTTCAATTTGCTGAATCCACTGAACAAGACAAAAGTGTTCGACATGATTCCTCGATATGGTGTATACAGTGCTTTCTACAGAGGTGCTTAGTCGCTTCCCCTTATATCTCAGGAAACAGACCAAGAACTGAAGTGAAAACTTGGTGCATTTTATCTCTCAGTTCAGAAAAAAGACTATAGTTCTCTATTCATTCATTCCTTTATTCATTCATTCCACAAATGCATTCACTGATGTCTACCATGTGTAAGGTCATGTGGAGCTGTGATGGTAACCATCGCACATTTGTCCAACAGCACATTTTGCCCCATTGAAGGACACCATGGAAGGCTTTCTTAGGAAGTGACAATTGCACTGGAATCTGAAGAATGAGTCAGAGGTGATCAAGCAAAAAATGAGGGGCAAGTTCCAACCAGAAGAGATGTCCAGTTCTCCATGGACTGGACATAATGAAAGAAAGAAGGTCAAGGAGACCAGAGAAACAGCAATTTTCAATATATAAAACAGTACAGCTAAGTGTTGAAGAATTGTTGTTGTTGAGTAGAGACGTTTTAAATCACATAAAATGAAATTAGAAAATTTTCCTAACACTTAAAACATATCATTCTGTTATATGGCATTGAGGTTATCATTGATTAATATCCTGAATAAATGTAGATTTTGAAAATTATGGTGTGAGCCTACCACATATATAACTTAAAGGAACAAATTCTTATAATGTGTCTCTACCAAGTTAAACATTAGCTTATCCCTTCAGGAAGTAATTGGGCATAATAATTAACTGTGGGGTTCTGGAAGCAGATTGAGTCTGAATCCCAATTCTAGCTTTTCATGATTGTGTGACCTTGAAAGGATGGTTACCTGATTTCTATAAGCCTCAACTTTCTTACCTGTAAAATGGGATTAATAATCATATGAAGATTAAAAGATATATTTTATGTAACCAGGGAGAGCAAATCCCAAAGATCACTTCACATGTAAATCCCTCAATACATCTGTAACAGATAAGGCCTTAAAAAAAAAAAAGCATAACCACAAGGCCATTTCCACATCTGGCAAAATTATTATTAATTGCTTTTGCTGTCTGATACCTGGTCCATATTAAAATTTCTCCATCTGTCAGTAAAATGTCCTTTTTTTCACACTTGGTTTGTTTGAATCAGGATGTCAATAAAGATCACTTCACTATTCCTTAAGTACCTTTTTATTTTCCTTCATGTCATTGTTTTGTTCGAGTAAGGTGATTGGCTCATTTGCACTGTAGAATTCCCTCATTTCAGATTGTAGTTAGCTGATTGCTTGCTCATAATTTCATTTAATTTAAAGCATGCTTTATATGCATTTAGGAATTGAGGAAGTATCTCAAGGGACTCATACAGTTCTCATTTTATCCAGCCAATATATGACTCAACTAGGCGCCGATTCTCAAGCACCTTGAAAACAGCTGGCTACCAGCCCTCTCCACCTGCTCTTGCCTCTCCTCACTCTTCCTGCCATTGACCAGGTTTAGACACAAGGGGGCAGAGCACACTCTCAGGTTGGGCTTTCTGAATGAGACTGCAGTGAGCTGCCACCAAGTCACAGAATCAGTGGGAAACAATTTGTATGTTACACACCCAAGGAAAAGCCTATAAAAACAGCCATACTCCAAGTTTACCACCTCTCCATTGTTAAAGAGAAAACCCCAGGCCCAAAATGGCATCGCTTGTGCTAAGGCCCATGCTACCAAACCTAAACTTAATACCTAACCTAACTGCAGTTTTGACCTTCACTGGAAATGTAACCCTAATCAACCAGCCCGGAATTCTCTGGTCAACACCAATGAGGTAGTCTGTCACTAGAGCCCACTCCATCCACCATAGGATGAGGAGGTAATCTGCGTGACAAAACCTTTGCTGTTCCCTGCCCCCCACCCTCAGATGTCCTGGCCTAAAAATAATATTTCTTTTCTTTTGTTAATAGCTCCCTTGCGCCACCCTTCTTCCCATAAAGCCTTTCCGTTTTGTACAACGTCTAAGAGTGCGCTTGTAGTTCCCAGATGGGACGCTGCCCGATTTATGAATTGCTTAATAAAACCAATTAGATCTTCAAATTTAAGAAAGACAAGTGCCACATGATTTCACTCATACGTGGAATCTAATGAACAAAATAAACAAACAAACAAAGGAGAAGGACTCATAGGTAGAGAACAGACTGACAGTTGTGAGAGGGGAGGGGGGTTGGGAGTTCGGTGAAAAAGGTGAAGGGATTAAGGAGAAAAAAATAACAACCAAGAACTCAGAGATACAGACAACAGTATGGTGATTACCAGAGGGAAAGAGGGGTAAGGGGAGGTAGAAGAGGGTGAATGGTGATGGAAGGAGACTTGATTTGGGGTGAAGAACACACAGTGCAATGTACAAATGATGTATTATTGAATTGTACACCTGAAACCTATATAATTTTATTGACCAATGTCACCCCAATAAATTCAATAAAAATTAATAAAAAGGATCTTCAAATTTACTTGGTTGAATTTTGTTCTAACCAAACCCTTCTTTATTGGTTTACCCACTTAGTAGGGATTGCTTGACTAATATAATTTAGAAAGTTTTTCATTTTTTAAGAATTACATTTTTTAAGAGACTTCAAAGCAAGAATTATCCACCCACCCCAGATCAGTGTGTAGACATTTTTGGTGTGTGTTCTCATTCTATCTGGGTTGTATCACCCTGAAAAATAAAATATTTATTAGGTATTCAATAATGCAAAGTCACGTGCAAAGAGACCGTCCTATAACCCTACCCTGCTCTTAGGTGTTAAGCCAGACACCGAGATGATTTGAATGTTAGCACAACTTATTACCTTCTCTGCCAGCGACAGCACAGTACTGGCCTGAATTATGGCCACTTGTTCTTCATTTCTCAAATTCTGTGAAAAAGAAAGAAAAGAAATAAGCCGAAGACATTTAAGATATTTACATTATCCGAAAATATTGCCTAAGTGCTGCCACAGACACAAATGCATGGAGCCTTAACAAATGCTCAGTGCAAGAATACTTCTGAACAAAGTTCATTCAAAACCTGTAAAAAGTCTTCTGTGATTTTTTTATGCCACTCTAATACCGACTTGATTTGTTTCACTGTAGGCATACTTCGTTAATAGTCATGTTATGAGAAAAGCATGAACCAAAATGAAATGAAAAGTAATCTCTGCATAGCAGTTTGATGTGATTTAATTGATACTGTTCTCTCCTTTGACAAACTTTTAAGGGATAAAGTGGTGTGACTCCCAACCTACATTCATTCATTGACTAGTTCAATGAACAGTCCTCCTACTGAATGAATATGCCTTGACCCTGCCTGGAAGGTGTTTTTAGAAAGCAAAGGGATTATAGTTTCCTAGTCCATTTTTATGGGGCTGCCACCAACCCTACTATTCAGCACCATTGGCAACTGCATGACTGATTAATTTCATGCTGGATGCCTCCAAGCAACAGTCAGAAGGCAATTAGCTTTAATCAGCGCAGATGTGGTTGGCATTCAAATCAGAAACCTGGTCTTGAAAAGCATTTTACCAGTTCCCATTTCTGCCACTACCTTCCAGAGGTCCCGACAATCCCTTAGCCAAGTTGTCTGACAAACTGTTGACTCTCTCCAGGGAGCTACATCCTGCTATTATCTTACACAACGTGATACGTTGGCAAGAACTTCTTGCCTCTCATTCGGCAAATTCATTTCTTTTCTGCACTTATTTAATTCATACTTACCCCATTGTCACCTAAGATATCAAGCTGCTTTATGAGATCAGGGATGTTCACATCCTGCAAAATCAATGAGACACACTCAAGTCAGCGACACAAAGGTGGCTTAGGGTTCTTCCAGTGCCTCAACCCGAATATAGAGGAAACATTTGAACACCCATGATTCCTCGGGTTTTCAATCAGGTACGCCTGATTTTAAGTTTCCATTTGGCTTCTTACAAACTGTGTAAACTTTGGAAAACGACTTAACAGTTCATTTTCAATTTTGCTAATTGCAAAATGGAGGTAGAAAATACCTCCTTCATAGGCTGATCTTGAGGATAAAGAGATTATCTACAAAAGAGTCTAGAATGTAGTAAAGGCTGAAATTAGCTCATTAATTTTTTTCTTATAGTTGTCAAATTCTTTTCTCAATTATGGTAGATTTCAGGAGTAAAGAAAAGGAAGGGAGTAGATATAAATAGTGAACCAATTTCATTCTAATTAATAGAATTCTGACCTGGTTGAGATTTTGACTGCCACATCAAAAACTATATAGCAGTTACATTTTTTTTTTTTTTTTTTTTTTAGTATTGAACTTTAATTCATATTTTTGGAAACAGCTGATTTTTACTATAATCCTTGAATCAATGTAAAGCAGGTGCATGCCATTTGAAAGAGTTCCCTTGGATATAAATGACATCCATTGGATTAGATTGTTTATGATTTATCTAAAGAAAAAAGTAACCAAGGAAAAGATGAAGCAAAATGCTTTTCATTTCATTAGAGCTGATTAAAAAATTGCTTTGCTTTACAAATTCCCATGCAGCCCAGGAAGGCCAGGAGTTTACACATCGTGAAAGTGGTTTAAGATGGAAGTCAAGGAAACACAATTTTACTACCTGGTCTCCTCCCCCTTTTTACCTCATTAGTACCACTTTGTCCTCTTATGTTCAAATGCAGTATAGTGGATCCTACCACAGGGCAACATCTGGCTCCATCTCATAGGCAGAGAGAAGGCAACTAAAGCAGTCTATTTAGCAGCTCAAAGTAGGAGCAGGAAGGGCCATGCAGAAAGTAAAGGAAAGACCAGGAATAGTCTCAGGCTTCCCAGCTTTATCTCTGGAATAGACAGTCACCGTGTGACCTCATTACATTGAAGGACAGTATTGATTCCAGGAGATGCAGCCACCTCCATTCGACCTTCATATGCATTTACAACGTGTTCCAGTATCACTACAGATAGGGTTATATTTTGTCTAACTGAGCAATATGTCATACACTTTCATAAGAGAAATCGTCCCTACATTAAACATACCTAAAGGGACGTGGACTAGAAGATGTCAAGGTGTCTTTTATGCTGACATTCCAAGATTATGACTTCCACAGCCTCACAACAAACAACACAACAGCGGGACCCGACAAATCCATTTTTACCTGGCGTACTTGAAATACGTTCATTGGAGTACTGAGTTCATTTACTAGTTCTTCTAGATAATTAAGGGTCACTATCTTAATGTTTTGATTTCATATCATTCTTTATGTCACTCCATTCTAAATAATCCTGGCTTCCTGAGTTCGTTGTTACCATTCACACCTGTCACACTTTATGTTCGATTGATTTTCGAATGCACGTGACTATTTTCAATTCCTACACAGTCAAAAAAGATGTCAAAAGATATCCCACCTAGCTGGTGTGGCTCAGTGGACTGGACTGAGAGGTCCCAGTTTGATTCCTGGTCAGGGCACATGTCGGGGTTGTGTGCTCGATCCCCAGTAGGGGGTGTGCAGGAGGCAACCGATTGTTTCACATCGATGTTTCTATCTCTCTCTCCCTCCCTCTCTCTCTAAAAAATCAATAAAAACACATTTAAAAAAATGACATCCAGTGACCGAAAGACAAAATAATCACGTGCAACTTCCCCTTTTCCAATTCCCAGTTTTTCTACTTTCTACAAACATAAAATATCAAACATCTGCCTACCTTGACACCTTCTTTCATACAGTAGATCTGGAGAGCACTCACACCATCTGAGAATGGGTGAATCTGTAGATTAAATGGAGGGGACCGTCTCTCTCTTTCCTTGAAATACAGTGAAGAATATATGGGCGTTAAAAAAAAGCAACAATTGATCAAACACTAAACCAGTTGTCTGCTATTTCAGCAGTTTATCAATATAGCATTTGCAAAAAAAAAAAAGAAACTCAAGGTGTTCATGAGTAAATTTAACAGAAAGTACTGATTAGTCAATAAAGGTGTGAAAGGGAATTTATAGATGGTGTCATTCAATCTTGCAGATTTTTTGATCAGGGAAATGTGGGAAGTGGAGGTGCATTTCAAACTATATGAGTACTTTGTGCTATCAGGTATCACCAAGAAGTCTTATGGCAGCTAACAGACTTTTGCATGTTCAATCCACTCAAGCTTTATGAATAAGATACATGGGTTACCAAAGACAACTCTTTTTCACTGAGATATACCAACTGCTAAGTGTCCAGACCTCATTTGAAATAATCTCAAGAAGAAATTGCTGGCAAAACAAGAGAAATCAAATGGGAATTTTTCTTATCCTTTACATTTCAACATACATTTGATCAGATCCAAGCCAGATTCTGCAGGTTACAATTAGAATCTGATTTGATTGATATGTTTCACTTAAAAAACAAAACAAAACAAAACTCTGAAATTTGGTCAGATTAACTGAAGTATTTCCCAAAACAAGTTACCTTGCTTCTTAGACTTTGGCATAAAATCATGATAGACTAAAAAGGCTGACTGACAAATGCAAGTGTCTAATGATAGAATAGTTTTGTATGTAGCACATTCTGATATATAATTCTTAAGGCGACATTTTTTGAGTCCGAATGCAATGAAGGATGGCAATGATTATTTCAAAGCAATGAATTATTGATCACATTTTAAATCTCCTCTTTAATTATTTAAAAACGATGCCTTAGTCTTGTTCACAAAGGCAAAAATAGTGTTGAAAAAATACGCTATCTGAGCAGAGAATCCTGAGCCATACCAATGCTTTACCACTCACTAATCGCAGTACTTGGGCAAGTTATTTAACCTCATCTATAAAATCTTGATTGTGGTTGTGAGGTCCAATGAGAGTATGCAGCTGCAATGCTTAATTCAGCACCTCACACATAGGACATGCTCAGTGTGTTAGTTGTTATGATTATTAATTATCATCATTACGGTCATTTCCTTACTTCTAGCTCTAGGTTTCGAAACTCCAGCAGCTCATTCTGGTCTCTGGCATCTTGCAGTTCCTGTTGTAACCGGTGATTCTCTGCCTCCTGTTTTTCTATCTAATAAAGTAAATCCTCAAATTAGGTGAACATGGCCAATACAACTTTGCAAAGCAAACATGGATAGCACTCATTTACTCAGTGAATACATCATCTAGACCGTGAAATAAGTCCCAAATAGATGTGAATAAGGTAAGCGCTGGCTTTCCTTCTAGTCATCCTGTGGCTGAGTTTTTCGGGTCACAGAGGAAAATGCTGGAGGACACCTCCACTCACTGAGATAAAGCCTAGAGACCCTGTGAGTAGTGAATCTAAGAGTATTCATTATGCCCTTATTGCGAGCCAGGGACAGTGAGGTAGAACTATATTTCATGGTGTAAATAATGAAGACATACACCTCTTATTTCTGGAGTTACAAGTTGTTGGAAAAATAATTGTTAAAAAGTCTCTGATCAAAGCCCTGGCCAGTTTGGCTCAGCGGTAGAGTGTCAGCCTCTGGACCAATGAGTCTCAGGTTTGATTCTGGCCAAGGGCATGTACCTCAGTTGTGGTTTGTCCCCGGCCCTGGTTGGGGTCGTGCGGAAGGCAACCCGTCGATGTGTCCCTCTCACGTCGATATTTCTCTTTCTCCCCCTCTCTCTCCTTCCTACTCTATCTGAAGATAAATAGAAAAATATCATCAGGTGAGGATTAAAAATAAATAAATAAATAAATAATAAAAATGTAAAAATCTCTGATCATACAAAAACTTTGCTGAATTCCAGTTACCTGCAGAGTGAAGCCAAACTCCTCAGCACGGAATTCCAAAACCTTGTTAGTATGGTTACCACACAGCTTTCCAGTTTTACATGTTATCACTGTCACCTCAACACAGTCACACACTCACGGGTGACCACTCACACACTGGAATCTGGAAACCCGGATGTACCCCATGGGCCGACTACTTCAGGAACTGTCTGTGCTCACGTCTCTGCCTGAACAGGTGTGCTCCCGTTTCTGATCCAGGTGAGGACATGCTACACGTCCTTTAGCACCCAGCTCCGACATCTCCCCTCTTAAGAGGCTCCCCTGTCTATCCACTCAGAAGTGATTCCTTTTCCTTCTGCTTTCCCACAGGACCTCCAGTATAGGCTGATGGAGCATGGACTTCTGTTCCTTGTGTATAAACGTCCTCACCCTCTACACAGGGTCCATGTCTACAAGGAAGCAACACGTGTTCATGATCTGCGACGGGTTTGGGGCTGCCTTTGCTATTAGCTCTGGGTGGGCTTTATGCCCATTCACTATTTAAAATATTCAAGTTAGAAATGAAAGAACTGGGGCTTTTAAGCATCGGATGAATTTTACTTTCCCAAGTATACACACTTGTAGGATGTTTTGCTTTATTGTTGTTTAGTGGGGTTTTTTTTGTTTTGTTTTTGTTTTTTACTCTTAATAATCTGAGCTCAAAATTCTACTTTTAGCCCAAAGAAATCAAGACCAAATGAAATCAGGTGAAAGACATAATGGAAATTATTTTTTAGATGATAAACAGATGTAACAGCACTTATTTCTGGGCATCTCTGAGAGTACTAAAATCCCCCTTTTCTCATAGCCTCATGATATACAAAAATTATAGGAAAATAAAGATGGGGAAATAATAAGATATTAAGTGACATGAACTCATGTAGTCAATTCAAGTCTTTTTATGCTAGATTTTTGTGGTCTAGTGAATTTTCAAAAATTTTTAAAAGTTGGCTCAGATCACAAAAAAGATTCTACTTCCTAGATTCTTGGATTGGGATCAGAGATGGGACATTTGGGGACATTCCTGGTTCTGGGGTTAGTGCTAACAAATAGATCATTGGATTGCAGGCTGTAATTCACAGATCACAACCAATGTCTGATGAAGTTTCTTTATAGGGATGCTTAACCTTTCTGAGAGTGAAAGTGCTCAGTCCTGAAATACCCACCTACAGTGTATGTATCATCAGCTCTGCCTCTCGTCATGCAGAAAGTGAGACAGGATGTCCTAACTTTGCCAGACCAGAGGGGGAGGAGGACAAGTATCTTCTTTCGTTTCTCATAAAGGTGTTGTGGTCAATATTTATTACTTGTCAAAGCTAGTACATATTGGTAGAAATTACTCTAACATAATGTCTATATATCTTTGGGTAGACCTACAGAATTATTTCCATTATTCCAATGGGCTTGCAAATTCTGTTTTTGTCAAGAATAATAGAAGCTTATTTTGTAATTTTTAAATTAGATTCCTGGAAGGTAAATACCAAAGGAAAAGCCACCTTTGAACTTAAAATGATCTCTCTTATATTTCATCGCCCCAAACCAAAATAACATATCTACTGGGACTAAACCATGCTTTTGCACCCTGATTTATTGAACAAAATCCTGGACATGCAGTTCTGTGTTTTGGAGGCATGTTTTAAAAAGTTCTTTTGTTAAAAGAAATGAACAGCCAAGTTTAGCAAAAAGACTGAGAGTGAGAACACTGTCTGCGATAGGTTGCAGCATGGTCTTGGAGTCGTTACCTGTCACGTCCTTGCACAAAATAACAAGTCCTATTCATCGTGTGCTTTGGGTAGATGGACAACCACATAGGATGTGTGCACGTTTGGGTGTGTGTATATATATATACGGCAGATATACAGTATATATATATGGTTAGGAAATCATTAGGTCTTAGGGATCACATCCCTTAGCGTCGGCGCAGCGCCCAGCACAGAGCCATGCACACGTGCCACTCCACTGATGGTGATGGCGGTGACAGGGATGCAGTCGAGCACGCAGCAGAGGACAGTGCAGCGCCGAGAAGCCTCCCCTTCCCCTAGCCCCTGTGCCACTCCTGAGAGGACCCCCTGCTGCTCCTGGATCTCTCATCACTTGCTCCTCTGCCCCACTAGGGTGTTGCGCCCAACATACCTTTTCTAAAAGCTCCTGGTTTCTCTTAATGAAAAGTTGTTTATCTTCTACCCAGTGTGAATCCTGTTTGACAAAGAATATCGCGCAGTCAGCATTTCAGAGTGCCACGAGCGAGCCTGTGTTGCCAAACCACTTTGCCTCACCCAGTTTGCCTGCCAACCACTGGTAGACGACACCCACCCCTGCCAGCTCCTTATTCAAAGACACTGGGGCCAACGTTGCCAGGAAAATTTAACCCCCTTTTCATAGTCACTCACTCCCTCTCTACCTTTTTTTTTCAGTCTGAATAATCCAGGACCAGCCTTTTGGGGACTCAGAAGTGACCACACAGGCAAAATGTGACAAGGGTCAGAATGCACACAGGCTAGATACATATGGATGGAACACATTAAAATGCAGAACCGTAAATGTAGCAGAGGCAAGGAATGCAGCTGCAGGGGTGGGTCTTTATCTTAGTGGCTATGAGCAGCTAGGCTCGTTGTGCAGGGCTCCTCCTCCTCTGGCCTTCTCTCTCTTGCCCAGCCTCATTCGCTGGTGTGGCTGGGTTCACGCTCTGGCCAGGCAAACACCAGGGACAGAAACATAGAGCCGAACATTCTGACACACTTGAGAAAGGTCACTGTGGAGAGCCAAGCCGTGTCCTGGATGCGGCCCATGCACTGGGTGCTATAGGAAGGTCAGATCAAACCGCCAGCAAGCAAATGCCTACCTGCCCTTTCTGAGCCAGGGTCGCTTCCAGGTCCTCAATTTTGGCTTTATACCTTAGCACCTCTGCTTGGAGCTGTTCTTGAGCCTAGGGAAACCAAAAATCCAGAACTCCATGAGTAACATGGTTATTCAATATTTCTCTTCTCCTCGTCTTCCTTGATTAGAAACTCAACAAGGAAAAGAAAAAAAAAAAAAAAAAAAAGAATTTTCTATGACCCAAAGACGCTCTTCAAGCTATTTTTTATGATCTAAATTCTTGCTTAAAACTTTCACTGGCTCCCTTTGCCATTGGGATAAAATTCAAACTCTTTGCCTGGGGAGTTGAGATTTCCCGAGATGTTTCCAATCTTTTCTCACTGTCGGGGAACACCACAGAGGCCACCCCTTACGTGCTGGTGATCTCCGTGTCTCCTGGACACGCTCTGTTACTCTGTACTTCGCTCTCGTTTGAACGAGCTCCCCATCTGAAAAGGCTTCTCCCATTTTGCCCCTCCAAAATCTTCCCATCCTCTCAGAGCCAGCTTTGTACCCTATTTCAACCCACATCCGATCTGTCTTTGCAGGTAGGTTTGTATGTATCTACCAAGTGTTCTGTGTGTGTGTGTGTGTGTGTGTGTGTGTGTGAATAGTTTTGAACACAGATCTTGTATGGAACAACTTTACCTCATTTAGTCTAGTAATTTGGTTTTAGATTCTCTTACATTCTGTTTATGATCCTCTTTTCTGCAAAAAAAATTTTGTTTTTGTTTATTTTCTGCTCATACACATATTTTTCTCTTCTCTTATGATCTGAATAGGTTCTCTGTTACAAAGGTGAATAAAGTCAGCTTTGGTAGGTATACTTTCCTTATTTATGTCTTTGGGCGAATTAAATATTATGTTTATCTTTACGTTAATAGCCAGAGACAATGTTAAATCTTTATTTAGGTGGGAAAGTGAAATGAGAAAGAGAACTGGTTTCTACCTCATCACCTCTCCCAAACACAAGGCACATGCCATTATTTTAGTGGGCAATCCTATGCTGGTAAGAATGCTTAGTTCATGTTGATAAGGAAACCCACAGCTAAAACATGAAGGCACACACATGCATCCCTTTCTGATGATTACGTGCCTGTCTATGCCACATCACAGTGCTTTTTAAAAACATGTTTACTCCCGCCCTGGCCGGTTTGGCTCAGCGGTTGGAGCGTCGGCCTGCGGTCCAGAGAGACCCGGGTTCGGATCCCGCTAAGGGCGCGTACCTCGGTTGCAGTTTGTCCCTGGCCCTGGTCGGTTGTGCGGGTGGCAGCCACTCGATGTGTTCCTTTCACGTCGATGTTTCTCTCTCTCTCTCTGTTCCTCTCTCTCCCTCCCACTCTACCTGAACAAAAAATGGAAAAATGTCCTCGGGTGAGGATAAAAAAAATAAAAAATAAAAGATAAAAACATGTTTACTCCCATGTATGTATGTGTGCTACCATTTAAAAATAGAGAACTAGAATATCTACCCTTTCCCACTAAATAAATAACAGTAGCCCTACAGCACTCCGCAGCATAAAGTAGCCCCTCTAAATAGGAAGGAGGATAAAAATCTCCGGGTGGTCACACTCCTTCTTGCCCCTTGTAGATTAATCTATGGGGTATGGCATGGTGGTTATGACTTTAAACTCAGAAAGACTAGGTTCATATCCTAGCTTTACTCTAAGCTGCATCTCCTGGTTTTAATTAAGCCAACTAAGCTACATTAAACTCTTTCTACGATATTATTTCCACTCCTGTAAAAAGAAGATAATAGCATCTAACACATAGGGGTATTTAAGAATTACAGGAGGTACATGTATATAAAGTGCTCAGCACAATGCCTGGAACACAGCAAGCGCTGAGTGAATGTTAAATATTAATATTATATGTGTTTATTTTTTTCAAATAGGCTTATGAGAGGCAGTTGTGAAAAATGGAAGGAACATGTGACCCAGTAAGACTTGAGTTGACATCTCAGTTTCCCATTTATTACCCTGTGTGATCTTGGGCAATTCAATTAACTTCTCTAAACCTCAAATTCCTCTTTTGTAAAATACTTGCCTTAGGGAGCTGTCGTGAGGATGAAACGAGACAGTGAACATGCTTGGTAAGCTGTCTATGTCACACTGTGCACTTATTAACTAAGAAAGGAAACCATTGCTTTGGAAAGATAAAAGTTTGTCTTTTTCTAAGTGAGAAACTGAAAAAAAAAAGATTATCAACATTCAATATGGTCTAGCTTTGAAAATGTTAAGTTTTCAAATAGCAAGATACTCAACTATCTAAAAGGAACAAAAGCATCGATTCAAGCTGGTGCTAATGTCTCTAGATCCAAGGTTTGTTGACATAAAAGATACAACAGTTCAAAAGCCTCGGAGGAGAGAAGGGCACATGGAAAGCTCCCCTATTGATATTTTTATGTCCATGATTCTTTGTGCTGTGACCGCTGCATTAAAAAGGCCAATTCTGAGCACTCTCTGCAGACACACTAACCTTGGCCTCTCTCTCAGCGTCGATGATGCCTCCCGTCTGCTCCTGCAGGAGGGCGTATGCTCTTTGGAGCGCCTGGTATTCCTTTGTTAGTTGTCGAAATCGCAGCTCAGATTCTTCAGCTGCTAAACTCTTGAGGTGGAGAAAAACAGAAAGCCAAAAAATAATTATGGGAATTCAGTTCAGGTCCTGTGTTCAAGGTGAGATCTTAACATGTGTCTACTTTTTAAAGAGAAGTTGAAGGTTTGTTTGATTTTGAATTCAATGGGACTTGTTCTTAATTCTAAAGGACGTGGATGGACAAAAATATTGTAGTGCTTTAGGAGGGAGGTTGGGGAACTGGGTGAAAAGGTGAAGGGATCTAGAACTACAAATTGGTAGTTACAAAACAGTCGCAGGAATGTAAAGGACATAGAGAATATAGTCAATAACACTGTGATGACTATGTATGGTGCCAGGTGGGTAGTGGACATATCAGGGGGAACACTTTGTGAAGTATATGATTGTCTAGCCACTATGTTGTACATCTGAAACCGTTACAAAATAATATTGCAAGTAAACTGTCATTGAAAAAAAAAAAAATACTGTAATACTTTCCAGATGGACACCACAGAAATACTTAAGTATTTATTTTAATAAAAGAAGCATTTGTTTATACATTTCTGATCGTTACCTGTTGGGGCTTGGGTTACAGTCAATTTTGGGTCCAAATGAGAAGAATTTGTACCCTGATTATGGATTCAAATTTGAGAAAATGATATTGAGAGTTTTAGTCTCGCTTTTGCCCCCCAATACATTCATATCCAACAACTTCTTCCCCAGGTAAATTATGAAAAACATAGTTTTACAGTGTAAGGTCTCAAATTTCAGAGCACAATACGATCACCAGGGAGTTCTGTGAAAAACGCATATTTTGGGGTTCCACCCTAAAGACCCTGGGTCAGGAGTCATACGGTAGAGACCAGGAGTTCCACTGCAATTGAACTCCGATGGCTCTGATGAAGGTGGTCCTTCGCATACGCTGCTTAACACTATCCTAAATTATATCTACAAGCTTGTTCTTCCAAGCCTGTTCCTTGGTTCACAGGTTCCCGAGCTGAAGACTTTGGGACAGTAACTTTTATTTTGAAAGAAACCTTCAAGTTACAGAGCTGAACTTTAGAGAAGTTTCTAAAAAGGCTACAGGCCATGGGTGAACTATTTTCCAAAGGGTATCAAAGTCAAGTGCGGTCTCAAAATGGGTCGCTATTATGATATCATTTGTGCTGTTCACAATGGAGATAAGATGTGAAATGCTTTTTCTCCCCCTTAAAGGAAAGATGTGGTGACAATGTCACAGAAGACTGGAGACATGGAAAGGCTTACTTCATCCAGGTCATCGTCGGGAGTAGCTGGTGTTCGGTCTGTTCTGAATGAGGCCATGGATGATGTCTCGGAGTCCATAGAGTCCTCATCATAGCCAATAAATGGATCCAAAACCGGCCTCTAACGGAGGGAGAGCACAGTTTACTGACACGGGCGAAAGTGGGGAAAGTTGACATATAACTAAAGCACTGTCAACCTGCATATGTGCAAGTGAATATAGACGATGTGCATCCTTTACTGTTTCTTTAATGAAATAAAAACATAGATATGACCATAGTAATGCCAACAAATGTTTGTTCCACATTATTCAATTTCTGACATTTTTGGAAGATTCATTAATACTGGCTCTCTTCACAGAAACATCGTAGCCTCTTTGATAGCACATTTTATACCATGATGAGTTTGAGTAATTTACTCCTTCCAGTATTTAAAAATACTCCAGGGGCTCTGAAAGTCCCGGTGTCTATGTAAAGAGGATTATCAAATCAAGTCTTGTCGTCAAATTTTACATCCAAATTAAATGATGTACCTGATTTTTAAAAAAATCAAACAAACGGCTAAATTAAATAATAAAACTTGGTGGTTTTATTATTTAATAAGAGGCTATACAGATATTGGTGAATTGGGAATATCATTATCAATAATACTGTTCAAGTGAATAATGAACATATATCATTATTAATTTATTTATTTATTTATTTATTTATTTATTTATTTATTTATTTATTTATTTATTTTTTTGTGGTACATGCCCCTAGCAGGAAGGAACTGAACCTGGGACTCTCTGGTCCACAGGTCAATGCTCAACCACTGAGCCAAACTGGCCAGGGCAATAATGAACATATATCAGTCAGTTACAGGGTGGGTATCAGATGCTAATTATTCAGTGGAAGACATCCAGTCATGGGAGTCACTTGTATGTTCCTGGCGTGGGACTCTCCAACTTGTCAGATAATCCTTTCTCTAGAGGTCAAGCCTCATGGCTTCTCAACTCAGAGAAAGTCCCATTAAAGCAAACCCTTTTAATGCACAACACAATCATTGTGGGACTTCTGAGAACTATCAAGAGAAGAGATTTAAACATTTTTTTTTCTAGTGAATAAAGCCCAAGGTTTAAACTTCTCAGGAACATTTGATTTCTCACATCTTTGCAGGAAGATCACATGGCCTCACTTCTCTGGCTGTGGCCAAAGCCTGCACACCCGGTTCCCTCCTTACCTTGATTGGCTTGGAGCTTCTTCTGTGCTTTCTCCTGCGGATGAGCTTCTCTCGGTCCTGGAAAACAGAAGAAGGACTTTTCAGATCTTAGGTTAGTACATTTTTCTCTATAGGATTTTTTTGGTGTTGGTTGTTGGGTTTGTTTTGTTTTGCCAAGGCAGAGTTGTTTTTCCTGGAGGCATGATGAATTTCTATTTTAAGATAAGATTATGCTGTGTAAGTTTTAGCAACTTTGGGGTGTGATGCTTGAATATTTTCAAAGTAAGAATATTCTGCAACTTGTCCTGATAATCTATGTAGATTTGGGAGCTTCACAATGAGGAAGGGCACTGTGTTGCTAATCAGAATACTTTGTTTTGTTTTTTAATTAATTAATTACTTTTTTTGTTAATCCTCACCCAAGGATATTTTTCCATTGATTTTTAAATAGAGTGAAAGGGAGAGAGGAAGAGAGAGAGAGCCACACACATAGAAAAATATTGATGTGAGAGAGAGAGACACATTGATTGCTTGCCTCCCAGACAACCCCAGCTGGGGCTGGGGATAGAACCTGCAACCTGCCCTTGACCAAGAATTAAACCCATGACCCTTTGGTCCGAGGGCCAATGCTCTAAGTGCTGAGTCAAACCAGCCAGGGTAGATCTTTTGTTTTATACTCAAAGGTCGAGTAGCTCTGAAAATAGTTACTCATATTCTTCCAAAACACAATTCTTCAGTTCTCTAAGACACCAAATTACTTTAAATTTAAGTGTTGAAAAAAATACCATTTCACAATAAAGTAAAGCCTTATTCTTTTCATGTAATCACTTACAAGGCAGAGAGAGCTACCTTTGACTTTTCTTGGATCCTTATTCTCAGCCTCTGAAGATGGGAACAGTGTCTTGGTTGAAATTATCTAGGGCAATGATTTTCAACCTTTTCATCTCATGGCACACATGCACCAGCTACAAAAATTCTGTGGCACACCAAAAAGTATAGATTTTTTGCCAATCTGACAAAAAAAAAAAAAGGTATAATTCTGATTCATTCACACCGGGTGGCTGTCCTTGTGTTGGCTATTGTCATTTTTTAAAATTTGATAGTCTAAGGGAAGAGGGAGCAGTGCCCCTGATGGAATAGTCAGGTATTGCAACTTTTAAAAATTCTTGCAGCACACAGCTTGAAAACCGCTGATCTGGTGGGTTTTGCAGGGTTAGGGGAAGTTCTCTTTGGAATTTTCTGGGAGACTCAAAGAATATCTAGAAACAATGATTTGTTGATTCATTGTTGTGAACAGAGATATCCGGGGAATTTGATGTTCATCTACTAAGTACTTCAGGTATTTAATGTATAAATTCAAAGGTGGATGAAAGAAGGGGTACTTATGTCTCCCTGAGGGTGTGGTTGACATGCCTCAACATCCAAATTCTATAAGAAACTTTTAGCTTAAACTCAGCAACTTAAAGCCAAGCAAATTCCTGGACTGGTGAGTCTGCGAGGTTGACGTGTTATAAAGGGTGTGGAAGCGAATGGAGGGGCATAGCACTTCAGAAGGCCACGTTTGAGAAATAATCTGGTTTAAGTCAGTGGGGTTAACCTTTCTGATTTCTCACCTTTAGCCATAAACATATTTTGATCATGCAACTTCAATATATCTGAAACTTTAAAAAAGTGTATGCTTAAATTACCCTCCTATTAGACTATATACATTATAACATGTACTCAACATAGAACATTTTAAAAGGGTAAACCACAAGTAATTATACTCAAAAGTTAGAATCTTTTCTTCCCTCATTTGAATAAATCACCTTGCTTGCCCTCCTCTGAAAACTATTGCCCAAACTCCCCCATCACTAGTTCCTGGACATACTCCAGGCCTTGCTCAGTCCTGAAGTGAGAGTGACCAGAGATGCCATTCGCAGTCTAAAGACAGAGAAGCAAAGAGGAGACCCAAAGGCATTCAAGGTCTTATTCTACAACTGCGGATAACACAGACTGTAGCCAGAGGCAAATGGGAGTAATAACTGCTCTACCTGCTTCACCAAGTACTGAAGCCAGGGCCAGAAGATCCGGACTCTAGTTTCAGCTCTGTCAATATTTATGATGTAGGTGTTCATGCAACAAATGTTTTCTGATTGCAACTCTGTGCTAAACACTGAATTAGGTGTTGGGAATCAAGAAACATAAAGTCCTGTTATTGAAGGTAAACTATTTAATCTCTGAGTCTCAGAATCTTTCTACTGGAGGGCAATTAGAAGATATACCTATGCAATCTACCTACTCACAGCTCAATGCATTTGAAAGTTTAATGTACTGTGCAGCTCTATTGTTCATGTTACCAAATAAATTTATTATAATTACTGGCAATCAGATATATAATTGAAAAGGTATAAAAGAGTTCAGTAACATAAATTATTTTTGGAATAGAGTCTCTTTACATATTAAACATGTGAACTTGGGCCTTTAGGGCTAATCCAAAATTATTAAGTGCTTATGATGATATCTTGGCTACTTGTCCTTGGGAAGAGCTTAGTGGTTATAGATTGATCAAGACCTACCCTGGTGAGCTCATCAATAATGTTCTGTTGCTCAATGACCTGAAGTTTGAGAAACTCTGTCTCTTGTTCTTCATTGGCTTGATCGAGATCATTCAGAGATTTCAACTTCTTCAAGGGTGGATGGGTTGTTATTTTTTCTCTCTGGATTGGAAAAGAAGAATGTATAGATGGAGACTTTAAAACTCCCAAACTCTAGTGGTTAACATCAAACCTTTGTAGAAACATCGTGAGACTCCAGCTAAATTTGAAAGTTGCCCAGCATCAAACCACACACATCTCCACTAAAACTCCCAAATTCATTTTATCTGCTATAAGAAGTCAAAAATCACTGGGAATGTCTGAAGATCTCCACAGCTGTAACGAACGTCTGTGGAGGGATGCGTTAGCATATGACTTATCCATACATAATACAAAAGATGGTATCTATTTCCCAACTACTGTGAAAGCTCTTAGAAGCTGAGGGATACCTACTGCACAGTTCTTTAAAGAGCACATTAGAGAAACTCTTGGAAGGGGGTGTTGGTGGCTGAGGAGCTATGTTGAAATTTTGCTTCTCCACTTCGGACCATTTGGAGAGCGTGCAGATTCGTGGAAGCACGCCTCCTGGTCTGCAGATTTAGAAACTCCGTAAAATCCAGAGCCAGCAACTTTGCTTTGCCTTTTTTTTTTTTCCCTTAAAATTCCCTTGCTTACATAAGGGAAAATCTAAGCGTTCATAAATAGTATTACACTGAAAAAACAAAACTGAGAAACAGCAGTAAGCCAGGCGATTGGGTAAGAGAAGAAAGGGAGCCGCAGTCTTGCGGAGTCTGGGCCACCCACCATTTCGGAATTTTCCTTGGTAACAGCTTTCAGTTTCTCCTCCATGCGCTGCAGAGACAACATCAGCTCATCGTTTCTCTTGGCGAGGCACTTGTTCCTTTCCAGGAGAGGTTTGCATTGTTTTTCGGTTTCCCGCACGCGTTTTAACTGAGAAGACACAAGTCACAGTTTCCTCTACTGGCTTTTCATCATGGTCTTCATAACCCTCCAAGGAGCTATTACCTTAAAGGAGGTGCTGCTGAGATTCTGCTTTTGGAAATGCTCAGGGAGAGGAATCATATTCCCTGTTCCCCCTGACTCCTCCAGCCCCAGTCCCACCCTGCTCCCACTGCTCCCTGGGCCTCATTGGCTGGAAGACATACAGTCACTAAGTCACACAACCAGGACCCGAATTCAAGCCTCGTTGTCCCCGAAGCACGTTCTTCCCATCACAGATCTTGCCAAGTCTCCTGACTCACACTCCAGCTGTTTATTTTTAATTTAGCTTTACTGAGAAAAATGAAACAAAACAAAACACATTTCTGAAACTCTACTGAGATTTGGGTTTAGGAACACCTAATTCTCACCAAGCCTTGGAAAAGAATGGTTGCGTAGTTACCTACCCACAGTTAACTATGAGCATACTCTGGTTTGCCCGATTAGTCTAAGGCGGGTTTTTTTTTTTTTAACCTTTGCCTTCCAGACATTTGGGGCCAGGTTTTTCTTCTGTGTATTGTGGGATGCTCAGCAGCAGCCCTGGCCTCTGCCCACATGATGCCAGTAGCACCCTCCCTGCCGTCACAACCAAAAATGTCTCCAGATATTGCCAAAATCACCTCTTGTGGAAAACACCGTCCAAGTTTATGATTGTGGATGCAGGGCCATCATTAACAGTCCCCACCCTTTACTCTGAAAACTCTCTCACTTGGAAGATACATTTTATGGTCACCCTATACATAATGAATGTCCATGTGAAAGTTCTCATGATTATTTCATTCATTTCATACTAATGGTTCTGAACATGAGTATGCATTGGGGGAGGGGACACCAAAATAAGGAAAGGGGCGGGGCTGTACCAGAAATAGCTGCAAGGCTGTTTGAAGTGCTCACTGCTGTTTATGAGAACCTACTGTTTTGGAATTGCTGGGGTAGAAGACTTAGCTACTTATAAATATTTTAAAAAGCTCTTGTGATTCTAAAGCAGTATTCCCCAACTCTGTCCTAATCATCATTGGAAAACTCCCATCTGATACCAAAGGCCAAGACTGAATTTATATTTCATAATTAATCTCATTTAATCCTCAGTTTTGAGTTTCAGTATCTGAAGCATTCATATGAAATAATGATTCTATATAAGGACAAAGAAATTATTCCACTAGGTTCACTATAAACTTTGTCTCTTTTCTGGAGGTCAGTGACAAGGGTTTTAAACATTTAAATTTACCTGTATATGCTATTTATAGAAACAAAGAAAAGATCTGTAATTCTAATGTACCATATATCCATAACCACAGTTCCACAGTACCCAACAAAATGTTCCTTTTAAAAGATATACTTTAAATATAGTAGAGAAAGCTTGAACGTTATATATTTTCACGAAAGCACTAATGGAAAAAGTGTGATATAGTTCAACTAATATCAGACAAAATTTTATGTAAAGTATTACTAGAAATAAAAAAGAATTTTCTAATGATAAAAGGGTCAATATACCAAAAACATATAACAAGTCTTAATTTATGTATACCTGGTACCATAACACACACACACACACACACACACACACACACACACACAAGTAAAACTGACAAAACTAAGAAAGGGAACAGACAAATCTGTTGGGAGACAAGCAGACAAAAATATCAGTAAGGATATGATTTAAAGATTTAAAGCAAGATCATTAATAAATTTGACTCAAACTGATTCTAATTTTGCAGAGTATACCTTTTTTTCCTTGCGAAATAGGACATTTTTAAAAGTGACCATAAGCTGTAGTCATGAAGCAAATCTCAACAAAATTTTAAAGGAATGAAATAGAACAAAGCATGTTCTCTGACTGTAGTAGAAATAAGGTAGAAATCAGTAACAAAAGGATAACTCAAAACTCGCAAATGTTTGGAAATAAAGCCATACCCTTCCTTCAAGTCACCCACAATTTTAAAGAAGAAATTATATGACATCAGAAAAGATTTGAATTAAATGTAAATACATTATGACCTGAAAACACGGAATAAAGTTAAAGCTATGCTTAAAGAAACATTTGTGAACTAAAATGCATATATTTGAAGAAAGGAAAGGCTGAAAGTAACTTCTTTATACCAACAGCCACCATGAAGAAAGTGAAATGTAAGCCACACAGCAGGGTATTTTAAATACAAATACCCAAAAGATGGTGTAGAAAGTTCCTAATGTTAACAGGAAAATAAAGAGCGTGTAACCTGGACATAATAAACAGGGCAAACACACAGGACACCCAAAAGACCAAGAGATTCTTGAAAAGTTACTCAACCTCCTTTTTAAGAAGAAAAATAAAAATGAAAATCACAACAAAAACATACCACACACCCATGAAAAAGATTAAAATGAACAAGTATCTTTGCATTTTGGCAAAGATGCGGAGAAACTACAACTCTCATAGATGGCTGGTGGGAATGTAAATTCTTTTTTTAAAATACGTTTTTATTGATAAGTTTAGAGAGATTGTAAGGGAGGGAGACAGAAACATCGATGTGAGAAACACTGATTGGTTGCCTCCTGCATGCCCCCTACTGGGGATCGAGCCCGCAACCTGGGCATGTGCCCTGACTAGGAATCAAACCAGGACCTCTCAGTCCATGGGATGACGTTCAATCCACTGAGCCACACCAGCCGGGCATGGGAATATAAATTCTTATATCAACTGTGGAAAACTGTTTAGTTCCCTAAACGAACTGAAACTGACTATATGCATAGTCTATGATCCAGCAATTCTGCTCTTTGGTATAGTCCCATCAGAATTGAACACATTTTCTCACCCAAGACATGCAGCAACACATTAACAGCTTAAAACTGTTAAGAAATAACATACATATTTATTTACAATAGAAAAATGAGAACATTTTGGTGTATTAATTGAATACTGGAGTATAAAAATGAATGAATACTATATGCGACACAATGGATAACTCACAAATGCAAAGCTGAGCAAAATAAAACAGACACGAAAGAGTAACTATTGTATGATTCCATTTACAACTAATTGTAAAAATGGTGATAGACATCTGTCATGATAGAAATCAGTGTAGTGGTTAACGTTAGAAGGGGTCACAAGAAGAGGTCTGTGATGTTGGTAATCTACTTATTCGTCTGAGTGGGGTTATATGGGTATATCATTTTGGGCATATTTATTAAGCTGAACCTTTATTATTTGTACATTGTTCTCTATTGTTATATGTCTATAACACATGGACTTCTATAACATAATGCTTAACAAAAAAATAAAACACAACATTCTGATTAGAACTCACCAATTCATTTCGTTCATCTCCAAGTAAGGTATTCCTGTCTTCTAATTTTCTTATAGTGGCATTCAATTCAGCTATTCTCTTTTGATTTCTCCGCAAATCCTACACATGAAAGTTAAAATGGCTAATTTGTCAACAACACTATTCACAACGTTTTGGAGTACAGTTCATAACGATAATAGGCTTAGGTCCTTTCAATCCGGCTTACGAGGTGAGAGTAAAATGTTCTCTTATTCAGAGAAGAGCAAATATTTACCCTCTTGGAACCCCCAATATTTACCACATGGGTTTAAGACAAAGCCTAGTTGGAACTGCTGATGAATTTTATGTGGAAGCTACTCCCTGGAGCCCTAATGCCTGGCAGAGGGAGAGGTAGATGTTTGGACCAGCTTTATTAAATCTGTGAGCTGTGAGACCAAGGTCATTATGTGATCACGAGGGTCAAGGAGCATTGCTTCCCACAGCTCAGACAGTGTCCTACTAAGAGGGGGTAGAGTACCAGGTGGAGGTGGGTTTGTACTTTCCTGCATATTCCTGGAGAAGAAGGTCAGAGCGAGACGGTTGGTGCATGACCTTCACGTATAAAAGGAAGTAGACTATAGGATAGCCATCGCTGGTATATTTTGCCCAGACCAACTGGCTTCCCATGTGTCATAATTGTCATGGATCACTTTACACATAGCAGTCATGGCTTCATTCTATTCTCTGGAGTCCATAGGGCCAGTATTATCATACACTTGCAAGGTCCTTATCATCTTACATTTCACTAACGCTGTACTGCTGACAAGGCAGTTTCACACATTATATTCCTAGATTTACAATATCCTAGAGGATTCAGCAAATAGGTAAGATTCAGGGAGGTTATAACTTGTTCAAGATTTCATGGTTAGTATCAATAGATCAATATGTAGTAGATCATTATGTATCAATAGCTAATGTGTATTAATTAAATGCTAACTCTGTACCAGACGCTGTGTTCAACATTTCACATATCTTCTCAACCACAGACCAGCCTGTGGAGTATCACTGCTGTCTCTCTTTTACAGATGAAGAAACTCTGACTAGACAAATGATTTGCCACACTGCAAATGGCAGAGCCAGGACTTGAACTGGATCTCACTCTAGAGCCAATTCTCCTGACAATTATGCCATGTTGCATGCAGGTAAGTGTCAGTGATAGAACTGAAACTTACATCTGCTAAATCCACGGAAGTCTTTCCTGAACACCAGTTCATAAATTATTCATTACTTGGTTCTAGTACTTAGAACCTGTCTCTGTTCCCAAATAATTCATTTTCATCATTTTAGCAGCTAAATAATTTGAAAGGTATAAGGTATGAAAGTCAACCATATACAAACTGATTATGTCTATTGCTGCACTTCTGAAAATAATTTCTCGTATAAAATGATGAACATCCCCAGAAATAAGTGGCAAGCTCAATCAGACTAGAAGCTTTCAGAGGATGATATAAATGTTTTAGTCTTTTATAGTTACACATTTTGACCCCTGTAGATGATAACCGTCTTTACCAATTTCCAACCCAACTGTTCACACAAGGCAAAATTACCAGTCTTGGCAAGAGACAAAGCATTGTCGTCTAACTTATGACTCTTTATAATAGACTGAAGTTCGGACAGGTATCGATGGAAGAATTCTGTGCAGGATTTTAAAGGACCTGCAATTCTGTTGTGATCTGCTAATGCAGCGCACACCACGTTGTTGTCTATGAATTTAGAAAACCATGTTCCCAAGATACTACCTCGTTTTACAGTATGAGGTAGAATTGATGTCTTTGTAGTAAACAGGAAAAGAGGTTAAATGAAAAGCAGAACTTGGGAGCTAAATACAAGACGACTCCTGTGTTCTGAACTTCCAACTTGAACAGACTTACGGGACTGCTGCAGTGCTCGGAGCCGTCGCCCGCCCTCCCTGGGATCTCTCGTTTCGGACTGCTCATGTTACACTCAGCCTCCTTGACCAGGAAGAGCTGTTCATCCAAAGCCTCCTTCTGCAGCTGGAGTTTCTGTACATAGCCTGTTTGAGTCTCCAGTTCCTTTTCCAGGGAAAAGATGATCCTGTCCTTGGCCTTGATTTCATCCATCTGAATGAAATGACACCCAGGACATTGGATTGAACAATGCTGTCAGGAAATGCATTTCTTACAGTGGCATGGGTTATTGCTACAGAACACAGTCATGAGTACGACAAGTGTACTGGATTTATGAATAAGACCAGGCGACGCTGTGTAATGAAGGGCTGTCCTCGGCGAAGTAGGTATCAAAGAGAGTGGTATCTCTCTAGTATATTCTGTGTAGATGCTTTGACTCAATATATTGTTAAAAATGGTCTGGGTTGGTTGAATATGGAAAGAAATGGTTCACTTTAAAATGGGTAATAAGTGCCCTGGCCAGTTTGGCTCAGTCGCATCGGCCTGCAGACCAATGAGTCGTGGGTTTGACTCCGGTCAAGGGCACGTACCTCCGTTGCAGTTTGTCCCCAGCTCTGGTTGGGGTCGTGCGGGAGGCAGCCACTCAATGTGTCCCTTTCACGTCAATGTTTCTCTCTCTCTCTCTCACTCTATCTGAACAAAAATGGAAAAATGTCCTTGGGTGAGGATAAAAAATAAAATAAAATAAAATAAAATAAAATAAAATGGGCCATTAGTGTTAATAAAGACAGATCCTAAACATTCCACTACAGTGTTTACCAGAACAATTTTTGACATCATCTCTTCTTTGGGGGAATGACCTTTGAGTTCAGTTCAAATAGAAGCAGCCACTAGGACTGGGTCATTTGTAACTGAAGAAGCTGCAGACTTCCTGGGAGCCCAGTCATTCCCAAAGGCCATGTGTTTGCATTCAGGCTGTGAATCTGGAGTGAGGGTCTTCCGTGGTTCATGCTATCCAGCCCTTTCCAATTCTGTCCATGTTTCAGACCAACTAATTTTTGCAACTATTTTACTCATACTGTCAGAAAACTATAGTTGAAACAAAAATAGGGATGGAAAATACCTGGTTTTATTAGCACTACTTTCCCTTCTATACCCATGGGATATATTTATTGATCCCAACACTCATTTCTGCTAAGCTTGGGCATAGCCTCAGAAATATTTCTCAACTAAAGGCCTATAAGCATGATACCAATTGTTCGGTTCAATTGGACTGAAATGTTTTTGTTATCCCTGGATGAGGGCAAGTGAAGTGAAGGTCTACAAATAATTTTTAAAGGAAGCATAGCCATCCGGTTAAACCTTTATTCTCATTTCATTATATTCTATGTGGACACTGAAAATGGAGATACTAGAAAGACTTTTAGTAAAACAATATTATACTCTTCTCTTTATAAAGACGCCTCCTTCTAATAACAAATCACTTTGTATACATCTTTCTTTGCTGTGTTCCTTAGACAGAAAAAAAGGTGGGGGGGGGGGACAGAAATTGTGTTACATGGTCACATATTTCCCACATGTAAATATCTGTGAGCTCTTGCCTCCAAGTCACAAGATGAAATTTTACGTCAACTTTGGGCTAAATTCTGCATGACCCTATGATATCATCAGGTAACTTGGTGAGGTGTTAAACACTGTCCTGTTAATTTTGGAACAAAAGCACTGTTGTTAGTCTCTATCTCCTTGTAGAAGATTGAGTCCAATGTTATTCTTGACTGCGTAGCACATTCAGTTGTCAGACCTGTCATCTACAGTGGTATTTGCAGTTTACCATAGTTCCAGAAGTGCATGCCCCTAGTTCGTTCTGATGTGCCCTGCCCTACCAAATTTGCTGCGAGAAATCATTCCATTACTGCTCATAAAATCACCCTCACCATCACCATCATCATAACTGAAATTTAATGATCTTCTACCACATTCAAAGCACTAAACTCAGAGCTTTATGTATCTCATCTCATTGCATTAACAATCCCTTTATGTAGGTGTTGTTATCACCATTTTACAGATGAGAACAGAGGACCCAAAGGGTTAACTTGGTCATAGTCATATGGCTAATTGGTGAGGCCTGATTTTAAATTCAGTCTTTTGACTTTGGAGCCCATTCTATTAGATTCTATGCTATACTGATTCCAAGACTTCCAGCATTTCCCCAAGTGGTTTTCTGCAGGGTATCCAGTGACTGGTGTCGAGAAAGCTCTTTCATATAGTGGGTATAAGTGTGGATTGTGGTCTCTGAATACCCAAAACTTCACAGTTCTTAGATGGGATATGAATATATATATATATATATATATATATATATATATATATAAAATCAGAATTTCTAGGGGAAATTTTCTTGGAAGTACTGCTCCTGATTCTCTCCCTTTCAGTTCCAACAGTGGAGCTGGGGTTGAGGTCAAGAACAGGGCAAGAAGAAGGTAAAAATGCAAAGTGCATCTGTATGATTGAGAAAGTTTACCATGTTACTCGGTTTGCACCCAATTTTTGAACCACACTTCAGGCAGCTTAGATTTTACACTGTTATGAAGAGGGATTTCATATCGACTTCAGCAATGTGCTAATGAAAGGAAAGTCACAGAAAAGAACAACACATCAACAAGTGGCGGTACTTGTAGATTATACATCGAAAACCATCAACAAACAAAAAGATTTCACGTAAAGCTTCCTTTTCATTTACCTACCTGCTGACTCCAGTTCACAGGTCAGATTCTTTCTTATTAGCCATTGTCGGTTCAAAATCAAAGGCAGGGCAGAGACCAGTATTTCTACAGTGTTTGGTCTCATCTGTCAACCAGTACAATAAAATAACTTGCAGATAAATAATTTGAAAAGTGTGGCAAAGGCAACATTAAGTCACATTGTATTGCAGTACAAAGAAAATTACACAAGTTTAGCTTTTCAAATGTTCTATGATAGCCACATTTTACTTAAAATTGAAATCCTAGATATCTCAGCCAAGGAACATAATTAGAATTCTTAGAAAACAATTGCTTAGAATTGGAAGACACAAGAGGGAAAGTGTACTATTCTTAGAAAAGCTTAAAGTACATTCTAACAGGTCATGATTCATTTGATAAGATATAACTAATGCTAAACATTCTGAGTATACGCATGTAAATATTTCTTATAAAACAATTAGACAAGGTCATTTTAGGATATTATAGCTTTCACAGAGTAATGATATTAGTTTTTTTTTTTAACATAATGAGAGACCGATGGCTATGGTCATACATATTAAAAAGAAAGACTGGCCCAGCTGGTGTGGCTCAGTGGTTGAGCACCGACCCATGCACCAAGAGGTCACCAGTTCAATTCCCAGTCAGGGCACATGCCCAGGTTGTGGGCCCAATCTCCAGTGGGGGGCATGCAGGAGGCGGCCAATCAATGTTCTCTCTCATCAGTGTTTCTATCTCTCTCTCCTTCTCCCTTCCTCTAAAATCAATAAAGAAAAAAAATTGTTTAAAAAAAGAAAAAGGAGACTAAACTCCGTAGAGGTTGAAATAAGTCTTTAAACTCGGTAATAGCAAACTTAGGAATAAACTACTTAGGAATGACATCCAATTTAAAACTTATAATGACCTCTGTTTATTTCGGGGAAAAAAAATCTATTTTAAAAATGACTAGGAAGTACATAGCTGTACGTGTTGCTCTCAGGCCTGGAAGGAAGACCCGTGGCCCATGCAGGATGTTCCCAGTGGCTGCTTCTCTAGGCAGCTTGACAGCCATAGAAACGTTCCTTACTCCTGTGAAAACCCAGTACCTCTGTATAAATTGAAAGCACATGAAACACGCTGCTTTTAGAAGAGCTCACAATTTAGAATATTTTTTATAGACATCCAAGAAAACAGGAGTCATTGAATAGATACTCTCCATGGGTACTGGGCTGGAAGAGTCCCGTTTTTATGAGAAAGGTGATCCGAAATCTTTTACATTTTATGACTGTGACTGTCTGCCTACACACCTACCTGCCTACCTGCTTGTCGACCTATCTTAAACAAAAGGTGGGCACTGGCTATGATCCACTCACGAGAAACACCTGAAAAAAGCCAAACCCACGGCTCTCTGAACCCCAGGACAAGAATGGTTCTGCACTGGGTTACTAACCAGCCTCCGAATATCCCGCTCGGACTCCCACTTGATCTTGGAGATGGCTTCCTGGTGGGACTGATGTTCACTCCTCAGGTCCCCGGCTTTGATTTTGTCCGCTTGGATCATATTGCTTAAAGCCTCATCCACCTGCTTCTTGGCGGTTTTCAGGTCCGCAATTTCCTGCAGGAGCTTAATGCGCTCCGCATCGAACAGTTTCCGGGCCTCCTCCCGGGCCTCGATGGTGAGCGCTGTCCTTACTTTGTCACTGCTGCCGTCTCGCAGGGCACACAGAGCCGACTTGAGCCTCTGGATCTCCCCATCGCGCAGCTTGACTGTCCTTGACATTTCTTGTTCGTGCTGCTTGATGAGGTTCTCCCTCACGGCCTGCAGCTCCTTCATCTTCTCCTCATGGAGCTTGGCTTTGAGCTCGGTCACCAGGACCGTGTGCTTGCGCTGTTCCAACTCACGAATCCTCTTTGCTTCTTGAGTCTTCTCTCTTTCAAGCTTGGATACCTGGAGGCAGAAAGGCGAAAGGATGAAAGAGACGAGCCTCTGAGGAGAGGTGTGCTCCTAGGCAGGATTTGCAGATCAGGCCCCCGTGAGCTCTTAATTCCCTATTTCTTTTCAGATCCCAGGCCACAGTGTGCTGGGAGGGAAGGAAACCACAGGCTTAAAAGCTGGGAATACAGCCTGTAAAAGGAGCAAATACCTACGGATGCTGATATTACTTTGTTCAGACAAATATTTAATGGGCTGGGGCCTTTCTATTCGATGTGTGGTCTGCAGACAAGAAGCATGGGCGTCACTTAGAAACTTGTCAGAAAAGCAGAATCTAGGAAGTTAGGAAGCGGTGTTACAATGGTTTTCACCTCAGCAGAGAGGAGTTCAAAACAGACCACCTGCAGAGCTTTTCAGACCACGTATCTCTAGCTAGACAGCTGACAAATGTGGGTGTCTCAAGATAGTGCGTAGTTCATTATGATCAGACTAATACATTGTGCCTAAAGTAATAAGAAATCTTTTCCTTTCTTTTTTTTTCTTTCTTTTGGAAGAGAAGATGCTGCTACTAAGGGGAAAGGGAAGAATGAAGACAGTTGATACACCCTCCACCTCCCCTTGCTTATTTGGCAACTTGGTTTCACCCCAAACTTTATACGCACATACCAGCCAAAAAACCCTGCAGTCCTGTCTCTGTTCAAGGAGCTTAGTAGCTGTTGTTACGTCTCCGTGCCCATGGGTGTCTCTTTGCCCCTTCTCTAGCCCCACTCCTACTTCCCACTCTTCCTCCCCACTAAGCCGACGTTCCAAGTAGTTGAATAGTCTTTCTTTACATCTTTCTACCTTTCAGGTATTCTGATGCAAAACAGTCTTCCATGTTTTGTTACATTTCCAATGATGGTATAGGGGTCTTTATAGATTAGCAGTGGCACTACCTTAACCCGGCTGTGAATCCAGCTCTGATTTATGGACCAGGTGGGGCCCTGTCATTTGCAGCCTCGTGGCTCCTGTTCTACCCTCTTCTTCCCCACCTCATCTCTGCTGCCTGTCTTTGTTCCTCTGTCTCTCGTGTGCATGTACACACACACACACACACACACACACACACACAGTAACCTGGAAAAAGAAAGAATCTGGCAGCCCCAGGAGTAATATTGAGTGATACTGAATCTCTGCTATTTGTAGAATTGGAAGGTGTCATAAAATAATTAAGAGGCTTTTCAGCTGAAAGATGTTAAGATTCAGACTCCTTATTGAAACCACCTGTAATGATCATGCAACGTGGCTGAGATGTACTTACCTTCACAGTTTACCTACCTTTAGCTAGAAGAGAAATGGTCTAAATCCACATGACATTTTATGAGTATTTTATTTTAAAGGCACAGCATTTATTCCCATGTTGCTATTCTGAAAGAACTTGGGGCACAGGGAGACTTGAGGACATTAGCAGCCAGGCATCCTCGATGACTGTCCTTTGATTCTGTCTCCAGCTTAGACCAAGGTCCCTTCCCAGACTGATGCATCTTATCTCATGTGCTCTAGAGGGGCAGTGTCCAGTACGGTGGCCACTGGCCATGCTGAGCACTTGGAACATCTTATGTCTGAAGTAAGACTTGGGCTAAGTGTAAGACACACACTGGATTTCGATGACTTAGTGTGAGGCAAAGAATGTGAAATATTTCATTAACAATTGTTCCATTGATTACCTATCAACCTTTAAATATGTGGGGAAAACTAGGTTAAATCAAGTATATTATTAAAACTAATTTTTTTTTGTTTTAATCCTCATTCAAGGATATTTTTCTATTTATCTTCAGATGGAGTGGGAGGGAGAGAGAGAGAGGAAGAGAGAGAGAGAAACATCGACATGAGAGAGGCACATTGACTGCTTGCCTCTTGCACAACCCCAAACAGGGCCAGGGACGAACTGTAACCGAGGTACGTTACAGTTGACTGGACTGGAATTGAATCCGTGACTCACTGGTCCTTGGGCTGATGCTGAGCCAAACCGGCCAGGGCTAAAACTAATTCTTTTTACTCTTAAAATTCTGGTTATAAGAAATTTTAAAAACCACATGTATGGCTTGTCCTGTAGCTTGCATTATATTTCGCTCAGACAGCGCGGCTCTCGAGTCCTGGAGGCTCATTTCATGAACACAGCCCTTCTCACACTGCTGCTGCTGTTCTCTGAGGAAAGCCTAGTTCTGCACTGATTTATGTGCCTGCTCAGTCACCCAGGGGCCCTTTGTACTGTGGAATAAGCTCCAGCACTTGGCTTTGTCTTCCAGGCTCTCAGAAGACCTGGCCTGGCTTCCCGCTCCGGCGTCTTCCGCTCCAAGTGCAGGAGCATGCTCTTTTCTGCACATGCCTGCCTCTCTGTACCTATGTGTCTACAGTCTCCTCTTCCTGGCCGGCCTGTCCCTCCCCTCACGGCAGTGGCCAGCTAGATGTCACCCTTTGTGGTCATGCTGCCCCTGATGGCCCAGGACAGAGCTCATTTCCCCTGCCTCTATCTTTTCAGTGTACTCATCAAAGGGTTGTTTTGAGGGTTACACTAATAAGGCATGGGAAAGTAGCTTGAACTGTGAAGTACTATGAAATGTAAGGCATTGTTATTGGAGAGAAGAGGAGATTCTAATAATATAAAATTGTTTATGTCAAATTCTCTGTAGGTACATTCGATTGTATCACTTTGCATTTCATTTCCCTCAAATTATAAACACTAATCTTTCATGTGTAGACTGTAGAGATGAATTTAAAAAAAAAGAAACTACAGGTGCATGGAAAATACAGGGTTGGCAAAAGTAAGTTTACAATTGTGAGTAGGAGAAACAGAGTTTATCCCTGCATTATTATTTATTAATTATTCTATCATTGATTTATATTCTTTATCTTCTTCTTCTTGTCATTATTTCATATCCTTACTTATGATGTATCTTGTAGGTAATGATGGCTGGTAATTTAACCTACTTTTGCCCAGTGTATTCTAGCTTGAAGACAAAAACAAATACAAACACCGGCCTTCTTGTCCATCACTTAAATGAATCCCTAGAACTCAAACAAAATTCAAAGGCACTGAATTACATTTGGCATTTTTATGTTACTTTATTTTGGTTGTCATAGAAACTGAACTTTTTTTAGGCTGTCTAGGTATAACTGTTTTTTAAAGCTTGAGAGAAGTGTTTCCCTATGACGAAGATACAAAGGATGTGACTGACATTTACATAAAAAGAGCCAATAGTCCGGCCGGTGTGGCTCAGTGGTTGAGCATCCAACCATGCACCAAAAGGTTGCCAGTTCTATTCCCGGTCAGGGCACATGCCCAGATTGTGGGCCCGATCCCCAGTGAGGGGCATGCAGGAAGCGGCCAATCAGTATTCTCTCTTATCGATGTTTCTATCTCTCCCTCTCAGAAATCAATAAAGAAAAAAAATATATAAATAAATAAAAAGTGCCAATAAAAATGTAGTAAAATCATTTTCTGAAAATTATTTAGAGTCCATATTACACCACTAAGGAAAGAGATGTCACTATCTTAATGCAAATTGTAAGAATGAGTATACTAAGACATCAAGAATTATTTCTGTGTAACAATGAAAAAGTGTGGAGGTGACAAGGCTTTGACGTGGGAAAAACACTTTAGTGGAAGAATCCATCGTGACTAGTGGAAATGTTTAATGGAGAAACGTGTCAGCTGGATTACGTAACAGCATTTACGGAGGGATGACTGTGTCAGGCCGTTTCTAAAGGCTTCACACAGGTGGGCACGTGGATGCTCCTCCGCAGCTCTGTGAGGCACAGTTTCCACCTGGGTGTGATTGAAGACGGCTGATTAGAGCCCAGTGTGGGCCAGGAGCCGGGTCTGGGTCAGAGCCCAGAGCTCCTGTTTGCTCTGAGACCTGCGAAGCTGCCCCACTCTCGGCCTCGGAGTTCTCATGTGTAACCCGGGACTGGCGCTATCATCCTCATAGAGCCGTGAGGAATGCTTTAGACAATGCACCGGCGAGCTTTGGAAAGGCTGGACCACATGGAAGGTGAACAATTATTAGTATATGGTAGCACTACAATATTAGTTCTGATAAATATTGCTATGCAATGCTATGTAAATACCAACAATGTAAATACAAGTATCCATGTTATCATGATACATCTGCCATCATTATTATTGCGTGAAGATTATAATAACTATTTTCCTAATATAAATAGATGTTCAAAGGTAAAATTGGGTTTCCTCAGGATGCATCGAGCTCTGTGACATTGGTGGCATCAAATCTTAACTTGGAAGATGACATGTAAACAGAAGTGGGGTGTGGGTGAGACAGGGTGAGAGGGTGAGCACTGAACAGGCTTTGAATGATACTGCTCCCCAATCCCTTCTACCAAGAGGTTTTATGTAAAAAAATAATAATTCAGGAAATTTCACCCTAGTGTGGAAAGCTTACATTATGAGAGGAGAGAAATTCCTGACTGCCTCTCTCTGGCCTCACTTGTATTTTTCTCTTCGGTCCCAATTCTAGTCTGGCCTTTGCAAAATGCCAGTGTACATTCCGCCAAAATAAAGATGGCTGTGATGTAAGCTCCCCTGTGACCTTGGACATCTAGGATCAAACAACGGGACAGTCCCATCAAAGGCAGGGAGGGTTGAGAGGTTATCAAGGCAAGCTGACAAGTTTGGTTTGGATTATCTGCGTCTACTGCTGCATGTAGTAGACGGAGTAATGTAGGAAGAGCTAGAGCAGACAGGAGTCTTTCCTGACTCATACCTGCTGTGATGGATTTACCTGAGATCTCTTATCCAATGCCCTCATGTCATCATGCAAAAATGCAGGCCCAGGAAAGACATGGTCACGCGGCACAGAGGTCCCACTTTGCGCTCCTCCTCCACCCTCTCAGCCCTCGTGCCTGGAGTGCAGGGAAAACGACCTGCTTCTCTGCATACTTATTCCTGAGTGCGTGGCAAATCTCTTAGAGAATTTCTACTCACTGCAAGTTGACTGTGTCTAGTATTTGTGTTTCATTTCCCTGTTTATAACACAGACATCTATGGGGAAAGGGTATGGGGATGTTCCCACGTGCCTTCCCACTGATCTCTCCATTTCAAATTTGCATCACAGTGGGAAAAACAGCTCTAACATTTGTTCTCTGCCGAAGGTGTCCAGGTTTTTCCAGATCGCTGTGTTTAAGAGCATAGGCTTTGTAAGAAACAACCTCAGTGTCCATCGAAGGGTGAATGAAGATGTAGCAAATACACACATAAAAAGGAAGGACAGCGCTGGCCGGTTTGGCTCAGCGGTTAGAGCGTCGGCCTGCAGTCCAGAGATACCTGGGTTCGGTTCCCGCTAAGGGCATGTACCTCGGTTGCAGTTTGTCCCCAGCCCTGGTTGGTCGTGCGGGTGGCAGCCACTAGACGTGTCCCTTTCACATCGATGTTTCTCTCTCTCTCTCTCTCTCTCCCCCTCTCTGCTTCTCTCCCTCTCTCCCCCTTCCACTCTATCTGAACAAAAAATGGAAAAATGTCCTCGAGTGAGGATTAAAAAAAAAGGACATTCTGAACTTTGTGACAATGGATGAACCCTAAGGGATTATGCTAAGTGAAATAAGTTAGACAGAGAAAGACAAATATTGTAGAATCTCATTTATATATGGAATCTAAGAAACCAAACTCATAGAAACAGAAATCAGATTTGTGGTTGCCAGAGGCGAGAAGTAGGGGGTGAGGGAAATGGGTGAAATGATCAATAGGCACAAGCTTCCAGCTATGATGAATGTGGTGATCATATACAATAAATGCATATATTAAATCATTATGTTGTATACCTTGAATTTATATGATGTTATGTCAATTATAGCTCAATAAAATGGGGGGAGGGTATATCAAAAAATAAGAGTACAGTATAGACTTTAGTGAAGAAGGGATGAGAGTTGAGAAACCAGCTCTGCCACCTACTAGCATGTGACTCTGGGTGAATTGCTTTACCTTACTGAGCCTCAGTTTCCTGATCCATTAAATGGGAATAACAACAGTGCCCACCTCAGAGGGTGGTCGTGAGGAAGAAATGAGATGATGCAGCAATTTTCAGCCATTATGCAGCAAGAATTTTTAATACCTGCAATACCTGACTATTTAGTCAGGAGCAGTGACTCTTTTCCCTTAGATTGTCAAAAAATAAAAATAAAAACAAAAGGCCAATAGCCAACAGAACAATAGCTGTTCAGTGTGTGAGCCCTGTCTTGAACCATAAATATATGTCATATAATAGAGTTGCATCTTATTGGCCTCGTCGCATAATAAGATTGTGTCTGATTGGTTGATTCTTGGCACCAGAAATCATATACAAGTATAGGCATCCAATCTTTTTAAAATTCACTTTGGAGCAAATTATTATTATGATGATGTTGTAAATTAATTAAAATTATACCTATTTTTTAAATCAGATCAGCCAAAAATAATTTTTTGTTTGTTTGTTTTTTGCTTTTGGTGTGCCACAGAACTTAGCAATTAGTTTACATGTGCCATGAGATGAAAAGGGTGAAAATCACCGAGATGATGACGTAAAACACCTCACATACTTGACACAAACTAACTGCTCAGAAACTGACACACACGTACACCCTGGTGAAGTGGACACCACCGTGACCCCATTTGACAGATGAGGAAAGGAAGACACGGAGGGATCTCCTAGCCTGCTCAGGGTCACTCAGGTGCTGGGATTATGTCAGGAGAAAAGGTGTTTGGGACAGTGTGCGACAGGCAGCAGGCATTCAGAAAACGTAGCTATTTCTCTTATCAGCCCTAAGTGTTTACAACTCTGCTCTCAACACAGCATGTTCTGTAAATGTCAATGGGATCATCCGTCTTTCTGGAAAAATAAGCACTGCCCATGGCCCCAAAGGTCTCCCCTCTCTGAGTAGTCGATTCCCCGGGAGCCAAACTGCCGTGTTATCATCCTGGTCTCGGAACCACAGCGGGAGTGAGCATTCGCATCTTGGCATTGTTCACAGTCTCTCTCTCCAAGCCTGGGCCTTGCAAACACAGTCCTATTCATTTTAATAAAACTGCTTTATGACTTGTTTGCCCCCTAAATTCTCTTTGTTCTTCGGGGGAGGCTGCTGACAGGCAGGGAGGCTTTGCTGTAGCCCCTGCTCTGGGACCGTAATTAGCTGCCAAGGAGCAGAGAAGGGGGCAGCCTGCGAGGGAAGGATAAGGGCAGCGCTTTATTCCGGAGGCTGGCTCCCGTCTCCCGTCAGAGGCAGGGGCATCGCACTGACCTTCCCGACTGCACACCCGTGCCAGGTCCCGGATAAACCGGCAGCCTCGTCCGGGCTCCAGTTCCCCCTTTGAAAAGACTTGAATGTGTAGAAAATTGGCAGCGTTGGGGTCCTCGGGGCCTCTGCCTCTTTGAAATCTCCCAAGTCTGTTCTCTGTAAATTGGTGGCGGTGTGCGGTTACCAGTCTCCAGGCCAGCAGGCCTCCTCCTGTGAATGCAGTTTGTCATCCTGTCCTGACGACAATGAAAGGAGTCTGCTCTCATGACATGTAACGTCGCCCCAGGGAAAGTTAACCCGGATGAAATGCTCTGAGACTGTCAAACCAGGAAGGAACCTGAGAGTAGAGTGTTTGTCAACACGAAGGCGGAGACCCACCTGCTCGGGGACTGTCTGATCTGTGTGTTGGGATGGGAAATCAGGGTCCTCACCCCACCTGTTTCATCAGAATCCTTCCAGCGTGGGCTCAGGGAGCTCAATTTTTAATAAGTTCCCCCAGGTCATTCTAAGGCACAGTGATGCTTGAGAGACTCGGCCACGGAGAAATAGATTCAGTCATCTGAATTACAGATCAGGACACTGGGACCCTAAGCCTCTTCAATGTGTCCCGAGAGAAAACACCTTGGTCTTCTGACTGGCAAACAATTTATTTATTTATTTATTTATTTTAAAAACAACATCATGTTCCTTTTACCTTCACGGAAACTAAACAAGTTCCTTCACGAATGTTACACTGGAGTCTGTTTAGCCAAGGTTAAGGTTTTGCAGAGACAGGAGGCAAAGGGTGGTTTAATATTTACATGGCTGAAAGCAGGAGAAATAGATTTGGGGGAAAATAACTCATTAAAATGTAATAGTAATGAAGAGACAGGTAAAACAGAATAAAGGTATTGGTTGGTTTATGACCTATCGTTGGGTCAAGATCGTTTTCTACTACACTAAGCATTATCCAGAGAAGGCAACGGACGCGGTGTGGACGTGGCTGTGCCCCGTTCGCGGGGAGTAGACAGGTCCTCAAACGCGTTGGACATGTCAACTGCTTTCCTACCCATGACCCTATTCGATGTCCACACAGCTCTGGTGAGACAACTGTTAGCAAAGCCATTTATGAGATGCAGAGAAGTGAAGTCTAGTTAGTAACCAACTCAGGGCAGAACATATTAGAAAGAATATTACTATTACATTGTTTGCGAGTGTACTATGTGCCCGGCCACGTTCTGAGCACTTGACATGCCTTTTCCCATGTAATCCTCATAGCTGAGACCTCGTCACAGCTCTGCGGGAAAGGACTGCGTTACTGAGGAAGAAACTAAGGGGAGAAGGAATAGATCACACTTCCTTTATTCCTCGACTCATTCAAAAAATCTATGTTGATCTTTTCAGTTCTGGGTATTTATTTGGGCTCTAGGGATGCAGAGGTAACTTAAGTCTCTGCTTTCAGAGAGATCGTCCTTGACTGGGGAGAGAAAAGCATGAAACAAGGAAATAAATAAATATATGATTTTTTTAATGAAACAAATCAAGAATAGCTAGGCTAGGAAGGAGTACCTGGGCATTTATTTAAACTTGTAAAATAAATGAATACATGATTTCCTATGAAATAAATCAAGAAGAGCCCGGCTACTGGGAGTAACTGGGCATGTTCTGTGTTAGAGACTGTGGTCAGACCGTGTCCTGCTGCTGACGCCCAAGGGAGGGGAGGACGGAGTGCGGAGCTGACCAGGGGAGGGACAACAGTGAGGGCCCTCGATGCAATCGGCATCTCTCTTGGTTCTTCCAGCAGGTTGGAGCAGAGGGATCCAGGGGGAAGGAAGTGGGAGCTCAGTGAGAGAGAGCTGTAGGGAATACCCTGCTGTGGATAGGAAAAACTGATTCTGAGACGCAGAGGAAGCCACTGATGGGTTTTGAGTGACATGATGTGATGCACTTTAGAAAGATCGCTCTAAATGCAGACATCAGTCTCATGACCATGTGACTGTCACCTTCTGTGTATCCTTCTGTGCTCGGTTCTCTCCTGTCACGTGCAGGAAACGCAACTGGCAGAAAGCAGCCCACAGAGCCACCTGCAGGCACAGCCTCGGGGACCCTCACTCACCTTGGACTTCTCCTGATGCAGCTCTATCTGGATGTCCGTGAGCTTGGTCCTGAGGTCTTCATTGGCAGCTTGAAGGGCGACAATGAGCGCCTCGGGCTTCTCGCCCTTATTTCGCCCTTTCTTGGACATTGTTCCTTTCTAAGTGTAGTCTGTGGATCTTTAATTCCTTTCACACGGGTGCTGCCATGTTACTGCTTCTTATCCCGGAGCGCGATGTTTCAGCATCTACTGCGTGGTGGTCCTCGGTAAGGCCTCCTTCGCCGCTGTCCTGGAAGACCTGAGGAGAGACAGCAGTTACCGTGGAGGCAGGACCTGGGCCAGTGCCGGGCAGTCGCTCAGCCCGAAGGCTCCCGTCCCCACGGTCCCCATCCACTCTGCACATGCATTTCCAGCGACCTTCCCGAAGGGCCAGTGTGCTCATGTCAACGCTCCGCGAACATCCTCCCCAGGCCTGTGAGTGCACCACATCTCAGAGGGCTCACGCCAACCTGCCCCTTCTCCTCCTCACCCCATTTCACTCACTTGTGCTCTGACCGTAAGAAAGCCTTTTCATTCTCCGGTCTTTCTCTCTTCCCACAAAGACTTTTCCTACTCTATCTATTTTTCTCCATCCTCTGCTCAGTCTCCTCACATGATCCTCGCTTATATCTACCTCCTGACACACGGCCGCACCCACAGTGTGGTTCCACTGGCATCTGGGGTGCCTTCGGGTGGCAGCTTCCACATCAGTTCCTCCTGGAAACCCCCCTGGGCTCTTACGTGCCCTTCTTGTTTAATTCTAGTCGTCACCATGAAACTGTAATCGTGGTGAGAGCGGGAACATGGTGTTCTATTTACAACTTACTTCTCAGAATCTATCTAAAGGCCTGGTACATACCAGGTATTTAATTGGTATTTACAAAAGGAGGCCACCTGTGTGATGGCCTCATAATCACCCCATAAAGAGCCCCAACTTTAAGAAAATCTGATTTATAGCCTGGCTGGTATGGCTTAATGGTTGAGTGTCAACCCATGTACTAGGAAGTCGCTGGTTCGATTTCTGATCAGGGCAATGACCAGGTTGTAGGTCTGATCCCCAGTGGGGGGCATGCAGGAGGCGGCCAGTCAATGTTCTCTCCATTGATGCTTTCATCTCTCTCTCCCTCTCTCTCTAAAATCAATACAGAAAAATTTTTAAAAGAAAATCTGATATATAAACACTTAGAATTATATGATGAATAAGCTTAGAGAAGTGAGGACTAACTATACTGGGTTAACTGGGTCACTCATCCATTCAGTCAATATAGTCAGCGTTCCTTCCATATGCTGTGCTGGGCACAATGTGTTGAAATTGAAAATAGGAGTTACAAGGCACAAAAACAAACCAACAAAATTTATCTATATCTATCTATCTATCTATCTATCTATCTATCTATCTATCTATCTATCTATCTATCATCTATCATCTATCTCTCTATCTATCTCATCATCACCACCACCATCATCATTACCATCTATTTGATAACTGCCTTAAAAAAACAACAAAAGCCAGCTGTTTGAGGAAGACAGACGAGACGTCCCCTCCCAACGGGATGAGGACGGCGTCTGAAGAAGGCTGCGCAGGCCTGCAGCTTGGGGAGCGAGGAGGACGTTGAGATGGAGAGACAGCTGAAGCATCCTGGGTGACGTGGCAGGAGCCGAGCCACAGCGAATAGAAAGAACAGCAACTTTTTGTGGTGAAAATGGGGGCCTGATCAATGACAACCCAAGGTACGATTTATGGGCACTCATGTTGAAATAATCGCCTGAAAACAACAAATTGTGGGAGACCTGGAATGCTGACCTTCGAATTTTGGAATCTGTTGTCTTCCAGTGAGCAATGGGGCCTCTGTTGAAGTTCTGGGCGGGTGGCTGGCATACGGGAGCAGGGCTTCGGTGTGGGGAGAGAATGGAGGTAGGGAGCCTGCTGCCTACTGAACTTGTCCAAGTGGAAGATGATGAAAGCTTAATCAGATCAACAGCGAGAGGAGAGAGAAAAAAGAGGGATGCATCTTTTTTTATTAAATCCTCACCCAAGGATATTTTTCCATTTATCTTCACATAGAGTGGGTGGGAGGGAGGGAGGAAGGGAGGAAGGGAGGAAGAGAGAGAGAGAGAGAGAGAGAGAGAGAGAGAGAGAGAGAGAGATCGACCGGTTGCCTCCTGCATGACCCCGACCAGGTCCAGGGACTGAACTACAACCGAGGTACGTGCCCTTGACTGGAATTCAACCTGAGATTCTTTGGTCTGTGGGCCAACACTCTAACTGCTGAGCCAAACTGGCCAGGGCACAGCCTTTTAAAAAAATTAATTAATTCATTTTTATTGTTGAAAGTATTACAGATGTCCCCCTTTTCCCCCCATTGATCCCCTCCTCCCTGCTCCCACCCACCTCCTGCTTTCCCCAACCTAATGTCTATATCCAAGAGGGATGAGTCTTGATTTAAAATTTCTTAAATGTTCCATAGGAACAAAACAGGTTAGAAAAATATCAACACTAACCTGCCAAAGTCAATTGGAAAAACATGATGAGGTACTAAAAAAGGTTTCTGATGCAACCTTTCAGAAAACAGGAATGCAGACACGGAGGCGCTTAGTCCAGGACTGAGGGGGAACACACATGTTCCAGCAGCTGCTTCTCTCTCTGACCCCTGGTATTCAGCCTCGAGGACCATGCTGGGATCCTGGGCTTTCTGCCACCCTCCCCCTGAGCACTGCGGCCATGCCTTTCGGATGTGTCCCTGGGGAAAGGGGATGGGGGAAGGACAGGGCATAATGCTGGAGTGGTCCTTCCTGCTTGTTTTGCAAGTGTTGCCAGATCATTGAAGTGCACGCCTGGGAGACTTCTAAGAGGCACTGGTCTTTGCTTTTAGAACTTCCTGATCTTTGGCCTGTTTGTGTTCAAATCTACTGGAGAGCTTCAGTAATTCCGGAGCTCCATCTATGGAGATTTTGATGGAGTAGTTGATGGTGGACCTGGGGTAACTCAGTTCTCTAAATTCCTCAGCTCTGAAATGGGGGTGAGGGCAATGGGGATATAGGGTACTATGCCATTGAATTATTTGACAATTAAATAAAAGAATGTAATGGATGGTCTCACACAGCTCATGACACATGGAAGTTAGCATTTACTGAGTCCTTTATTTCTACCATGGGCTGTGGCAGTAGACACAAAACAGCTTATAAGTGCTGTTCTCAAGATGCTAACATTGAGTAGAATGGTAGGGCATGTGCAAGAGAGTGGACACTCAAGTGCCGCACTGATGGAAGTTCTCCTATTGAAAACACTGTTCTTATGCTCTATAGACTTATTTAGACATTGGCGCAAAACCCTTCAGAGAAAGACACCAGTGAGAGAGGGGAATGACATTAACGTGAGCAGATGAGGACTCTTTCCTTCCTCACCGTGGTTTCTCTTTGTGCACCGCTTCTAGAGACTCTGAGTAGAACGCTGCACTGGAAATAATCTTGAGACCATCTACTCTCAGGTGTAGTTAGGACTTTAGTGTTTAGGGGACCTCAGTCAGTATCTATTCATTATAACAAAATGTCCGGGCTTAAAAATGCCCATTTAGCATTATTCTCTTTTTAAGACACAAGATTAAAATTAAGAGATAAGAAGCATTTATTATATCAATTTATAAGTATTTAAATATGATGAATCTATACTATTTTTTAAATCCTCACTCAAGAATATGTCCACTGATTTTAGAAAGAGAGAAAGAGAGAGAAACATTGATGGGAGAGAAGAACATCAATGTGAGAGAGAAACATCGATTGGTTGCTTCCAGGATATGCCCTGACTAGAAATCGAATCTGTGATCTTCTGTTGTAGAGGATGATGCTCCAACCAACTGAGCCACACCAGCCAGGGCTGAATCTACAGTATTTAAATTTTTTTTTTCCTGTATTGATTTTAGAGAGAGAGAAACATCGATGAGAGAGAACATTGATTGGTCTCCTCTTTCATGCTCCCCACTGGGGATTTGGCCTACAACCTAGGCATATGTCCTGACTGGGAATCGAACCAATGACCTCTTGGTGCATGGATCATTGCTCAACCACTGAGCCATACCGGCCAGGCTGAATTAACACTATTTATCATAGGTTATAATCCTGGTTGCATAGTTTGTCCAGAAAAGTAAAAATGTCCTAGAAATTCTAATATTTTTTTCCTTTATTGATTTGAGAGAGAGAGGGAGAGAGAGGGAAAAAGAGATAGAAATATCAATGACACAGAACACTGATTGGCTGCCTCCTGCATGCCCCACACTGGGAATTAGGCCCACAACCTGGGCATGTGTTCCAACCGGGAACTGAACCTGTGAACTCTTGGTGCATGGGTCGATGCTCGACCACCGAGCCACACCCACCGGACTAGAAATTCTAACATTTTGATGTCCAACAATATTTTCTACTGGCTCTCATATCCTAAAATGCCACTCAACTCTTTTTCAGAAATGTGGCCACAATTTGGTCAAGAAACTATAGCCACTATTTATTAAGCACTGTTCTTGGCTTTTGATGATGTTAAAAGTGTAATAAGTATCATGCCGACCTTCCAGTGGCTTCCAGCCTATACAAGGAGACAAACGTCTATAAAGAGAAAACCCTTGGAAAGCAGAGAACAAGCTCATGGGTAAACGCGGTAGCTTAGAGTGGACTGAGAAAGAAGAAGATTTGATAGAGAAAGTGACATGAGAGCTGAGCCTGAACGACGCTGCCCACCTGACTGGGCTCTTCCTCGGGGCCAGGAACAGTGCAAAGTTACACTAACTTTAGGGACACTAACTTAGTGAACTACTCCAATGAACCCTTTCAGATACTGACTCTTCTTTTAGACAGGGAGATGGAAGACCAGAGAGGTTAACTAACTTGAAAAAAAATTGCACAGCTATGAAGTGGCAGAGCTACAACTCAAATACAGGGCAGTCTCTAAGCTTTTTAACTATAACAAGGCTCTCCTGAAGGAAGGGCAGGGCTCAGCTGGTTGGAGGTAGGCTAACGAGATGGCAAGGGCATGAAAGTGCTAGCTGGGGGCCTACCCGATAAAATGGTGGGATGTAGTGCTAAGAGACCGGAATCTGAAATCAGAAAAACTTGCTTTGAATCCAACTTCCTAGCTGGATATTCTCGAGAAATTACAATCTCTACGCTTCTGCTTCTTTGCTGTAAAACGGGAAAGGGACATATATACCTCACTGAGCTCTCAGGAGGAATAAATGAGCCCAAGTCTGTCCAATGATGAGCAAATTATTA